GACGCCTTGGGGTGAGAATGCGTTTGATATGGACGTCAGACAGAAAACTAGTGCTGCACATTTTTGCGCAACGATCTGCTCTGAGGGGAAAAAATGCAAAACAAAAGAAAAACTAAGATTTACCTGTAACTAAGATTTTCCTCAACCATGCGTTGCTATGATTGGCTGTACTCATGACATCACTGAGTTGAGTCGCGCGACGGCTCTGGATATCTAGCATGCTAGATATTTTTCTGGGCTCTGTGACGCGTCTGTGAGCGTTTTCGCTGCGTTGTTGGCTCTTTCATACTAACAGATTGGCAAGCGCTCATCGTCCGCTCATCGTCCGCTAATCCCCCGCGATAACACCCTGACCTGTCGGCAAGCTCAACGATTTGCAAATCGGGCATAAATTGGGCTTAAAATCATGTAGTGTGAACTTGGCTTAACCAACCTATGCATATATGCACGTAAAAACTAATTTTCGCATATAAATAGCACTATAAACACACTGCGTGCTATATGTAGTGTGATTGGGTTGGTTTAGGATTAGCATTTTGCAGATGAACATTGTTTTGGTTGTGCTTTGTTCTGCGTGATTGAATATGACCCTTCAAAATAGATAATGCTTTAATGAACTCTATTAGAGATCTACACTCTGTTCAATAAAATTCCTTACTAATCTGTTGAGTAATAAAAATGGCATCTCATTATTGCTTTTAGATTTTTTAGATTTAGCCAAGCCCATGTTGATTCTTGTTTTATTACGAGCTCTGTCACGTTCTCTTTTTTTCAGCAGATTCTCCTCTGTTAACCATTTTTTTTTTTAAAAAAACACACAAAAAACGGGTGATTCCCCAGAGGTTCGAGATTTAGTTAGTAATGGGCGATTTTGAAACAATTGCTTTGTGAAGCTTCGAAACCTTTTATAATAATAATAATTTGTTACATTTACATAGCCTAGCGCTTTTATGGGTACTCAAAGCACTTTACAAATCGTAGTTTGGAGCGTGTATCAAACTGCCAAAGTCATGGGATTTCAGTAATTGACGCTTCGCTACACGTCATAACTGTTTCGAAGCGGATTTTGCAATTTCCATCCCACTAGGTTTAAAACTCTCACACCACATGTCCATATTTTCACTCAGTCACTTTTGATATGAAACAAAGTCTCAGAATTAATTTTTTGTACGTTTAATTACAAAATTCAAACAATAAATACAGTTTTGGCTGGGAGCTCATGTGAACCGATCATCTCTTCCTCTTTACTTACAGTACAAAATAAACATAAATGGACATCAGTTGGTTGAAAGAACCATGGACAAAACAGCTTGTAAACAATATGTCACATAATGTTACGTACATTTACCTCATATAAGCCATTCTATAAACTGTATAGTTAATGATAAAAAATTATTCCAGAGTGTATTTCGAAGAAAAAAAGCATTATATTGCATAGGCCTGCTAATACCAAAGTTATTATAATGTTATTACTATTATAAAAATAGCCTTATGCAATTGCGTACAAATCAGTTATTAATAACACTGTAGAAATGACACGATCAATAAGTCATGACAACATATGTTTTTATATTGTTATAACTCATCAAAATAGGTTTAACAATTTTAAGTTGAAATGACTTGCACAGCCAAGTTGATTGTAGGCTATTGCCTACTTAAAATGTAAGGCAGCAAGCTTTATAACATAACATATAAAATAACATACCAGCTGCAGGGTTCCCTGTAGTTTATAACACTAGTTCAGAAAGATTTGTATCATGAGATTTGTGTGATATAGACACAATCACACACACACATACACACACACAAAACACACAATTCTCACTCGAAGCTGAACTCAAAAGTTGCCAGCCCAGTAATACGTTTATTATAGTGAATCAGGGTTAAAAAAATAATAATAATTAAAAAGAAAAAAAAAAACATTTGGAAGAAGGATTGATGATGTATTGTGTTACAGTGTACTATTAAAGTGTGGCAATAGCTTTTCAAAAAAACTAGGGATGACTACACGCATCCAGTTTTAAAATCCGGTTTATGAGGAATTAAATATTTAACTGCTGTTCTCTGCCTGTTGTTCAAACTTGTCCTGCCTTTCTCCATAAGCAGAATTGCAGCACTAATATACTGAATAAATGCATCTTTGTCAAGGGAGGGGCAGCCAGAGAACGTGACAGTCTGAAACGCTGCTTCACTGTTGTGCCAGAGGTCAGACCAACAATCACAAGTTCTGTATCGTCGTCAAATGGGGATATACGGAAAATGATGTTCTGCTATAATCCATAACATATTCAAACCTTCACATAAAAGACCTTTGTATTTTCTGAATAGTTGCATTATTCACATATTTGCTCATTTCAGGTCGGTGTGGAAAACGCTTTCAGCTTCTCCCTCAAGTGGGTTTAAGAGCAGTTTAAAAATGATGTGTATTCACTACATTGCAACAAATATCAAAGAAATAGTGCAATATATGGCAGAGGGTAAAAGTGTCAAGGTGGACAAATAAATAATTTACTATCTTCTTTTCAAATCAGATTTATGAACTAAAAAACGTGGTTTCACTGTGCCACTGTTCAGTTTTTACAACATCATAATTCAAATTTGCACATATTTAGTGACTTATCCATTCCAACAGTTAAGATATGAAAAGGCTTTGCTTGCTACTGCTCAGCAGCATGTCTTTCATAAAAGAGGTTTTAGATAAAGGTTTTGTCAACATGCAAGGAATACTGACTAACAAAAGACTTTTCATTCTTTCGAATGAAAAAGGAAGCTTCCATTCAGCTCGTGAGCCATGTTGTGCTTTTGTGATGTATTTGTTATTCTTTCTTTTCAAAATTTTATGTGCGGTCATTTTTGAACATGTAGAGCGAAACAACGCTAAGCAAATAAGTAAGACACGTTTAAGATGGTTAGGAAATGTTTGCATAACCTTCTCAAACTCCTCCTTTCCCTGAACTCAACAGGATGCAAATGAATGCAGTTTGCGTCATCATTGACACACACAACATGCACACGAGTATTCTGACAGATGTGAAAATTCTAGAAAACCAAAACATAATCTTTTTTGCTCAAAAGTGACCTTAGAGCAGCAAAGGGTTAAACTATTGTTCCTTTAGTTTAGCTATTTCCACCCTGTAAGGTATTACATGATCAATTAGTTAGACAACGTGTGTTTACATTGCTTTAACGCATGAAAATGTTCAATTTTTTATGTTAGATTCAACTAATTTTTTTTTAAGTCATGTGATTTAAAACTGACTTAAATATCCAAGTTGATTGTACTTAAAAATTTAAGGCAGCAACTTTTTGTTGAATGTCGAATGATCCCCCCCCCCCCCCCCCCCCCCGGAATAGACAAATAAATACATTTTATGAATTTGAATTGTTATTATGGATGATAATAAACTGAATAAATATACATTGATTACAGTTGTTCTGACAAGGTCCATTCATAAAAGATTGTTGAAAAACTGTTTTTGATAAAGCTTAGACAAGAAGATAACTGTCCTCTGTTTTCACTTCTCTTATTTGCACAGATGTTTTTAGGCCTGAGTATTTAACCCCCCGAGAGCTTTGATAAAAGTCACAGTAACCCGCTTAAAGTACATTCAAGTAGGCAAATCAGGTTTTGCATAACTGTCATTTCATTCAATTTAACTGCAATTAACTTTGTCCTTTATCAGCAATTTCACAACAGTTCAAGTGTAGCCACAATAAAGGTGAAGCCTGACTTATCAGCAGCATGGCAATTTGGCGTGAGAAGGCCAATGACCTTGAGTTTTATAGATGTTATAATAAAGAACAGTAATAAAGTAACTCTCTGGTATGTTCTTCACTTTAACAGGTTAAAATAGGTAAGCAATCAAAGCAAAGGAGTAAAGGAGTTTCCCGGGTAACAAACTTTGTTTTCTCCTAGTCATAAAATACTCCAATGCAGCCTATTCAAATGCACATAGGCTATTTCATGCTTACTCAAAGTGCCAGTAAGCCTTCTCTTTTTTAAGAAATATCCAAATAGTTGTATTTTACTTTTAAACAATAACATAAAAATAATCATAGTGTAAATGTCGAATCAAGGCCAAACTAGCCTTTGAGGATATAGTTAGCATTTAGGGGTAGCCAGCCTATGTAAAATATTAACAGATTTGTGTACAAAAAAAGTATTTTTAATTACGACAATGTTAAACTGCTTCACAATCCCACATAGTATAAATTTTCTGTGGTAGTGGGGGAAAAAAACCCACTACCATCTTAATCAAGCGTCTGTTCCGGATGAGACCAACATGAGCTTTCCTTTCCACCGCGTTACAGTGCTGAGTTCGCCCTTTAAATAAGCCCCGCCCCGAAATCAGTCGATCAAATTCGGCATCACACTTCTTAGCCGTCGACCAATCACGTTCGTCCGGGGGTGGTCTTAAGACGGTGGTCCGGGAAGACGTCATCCAATAGAATCGCTTGCTCCTCGGACAAAAGCGATGCGACAATCATCGCTTACCTTGTGAGCCGCCCATTATTCGTGTTCATTCACTAGTTATTAAAGGAGACACGACAGTAGATAGCGGAACACAAATTAAGACCTAACGGTCTCACGGCTCAAGTCTTTTAAAAACACAAAAACGCCCCGCTGAGCTGTAACTTCTGTTCCAGTGGGTTCGTAAGCGCTATTGTATTGTCTTTAGACTTTGTTTGTTTTCAAGACTGTATAACGGTATATATCCAAATCTAAAACTTCATGTAATATTTGCATACATTAAATGTGTAGCCAGAGTTGTTCGGCTCAGGCTAGAAATGATTATATCTCAAAGTTGGGCTATCATGACACTTATTTATCTGTTTCTTAACCTATAAATTGCGTCAGGACAGTAAAAGTAGGCTATATTTATCTGATGTTCTGACATTTACACACACATATCAGCCTTGAAAACCCCTTTAAATCGTGACCTCAGCTCTGAGGGAGGTTTAACACGCCCCTCTCTCCAAAAAGTGTGTTTCTCATGCATGACTGGCTCATTTGAATCTGGATAGGGAGGTGGAGAAGACCTCTGGCTGCTTTAGAGCCAGAGCTGATATATCAGCATCCGAGAAACACATCCGTTAATCGCACATCACTGGGATCGTGTTTGCTGAATATCCAATGATAATAGAAGGGAAACGATTCCGGCTTTGAGAAGAACTGAGACATACCGGGGGGTTCTCGATTAACGATAGAAGTTCGGAACCAGAAAAGGAGAAAGAAAGAATAGTGTTATTTTTTCCCCATACAGATCAGCCAATTTTAAACCATCAATAATGACTAGAAGATCGTGTGCCATTTACGCCACGGGGATCGTGTGCGCTCATTTGCTCATTTTGGGGATCGCCCTTCTGGTGGCTCAAGTCTTCCAAACAATGATTCAGGAGCGGTTAAAAAAGGTAAGTTAAGTCTTTTATGGGGAAAAGTGTTTAATTAAACTTGTTTAATTTTTACAAAAAGCTCTTGTTGTGTTATAAACCCGGCTTTTAAAGTGAGTCAGTGCTGCTGTTGTCCTACCAGGGGCTTCTGTGTGTTGAGCATCACACGGATACGAACAAACATTGCGAAATCGCCTAAATATCGTCACATCAACCTATTCAATCTAATGATGGTCATTGGAATTGCTAAAACGTTACCAAAGTTCCCATTCTCACTCGCGGTGAGAGACCCAGGCTACACAATCTCATGTTATGTACACTAAAAAAACTGTATTTCAGCCCTATAATGCTCCTCCTTTTACGTGTTAGGTGGTCAAAACACATGGTATTAAATTACCGTGATGTAAATGTGGGTTTGTTAGTAACCCTGATTAAAGTGGGCTGGTCTGTGACCACGAAGCATATATCATATTGCGGAAAATACTTCTTTCCACCCAGTCAGTCTCTCTCTAATCTACCTCAGCGGCTCTGTCTGTCTCTCTGTTTATTAAATGCTTTTCATTGCAACACCACTGGGAATGAATCACTCTTCTTTTAATGTTACGGGAAAGGTTGTTCATTCACATAGCGTAGCATATTACATGACCGGGGGAGGTGTGTGTGGCTGTGGGGGAGGGTCTCAGCATGTCCTCCTTAGAAAATACTTGGAATTGTGGCCTCCATTACCCCCCAGTATTTTTAACCAAGTGTAGTATTCTCTGATCAGTGTGACCCCCTTGACCTGGAATTCTAGGGTGTGTGTTTGTGGTGGTCTGTGAGGGACGCTAACTTTGCTGGGGATGTTGTTCAGTGGTTTGTCATTTATTTAAAGTTGGTTTAAAGCCTTATAATTTACCTTCATTATATATTGTTTCTTTTCATTCACGTCTTCATGTCACAGAAACATGTGATATTGAGCCGGTAGGCTTAAGTTCTCTAGACAATGCAACTTTTTCAAGCCCTTAGGTGATGTGTGTTTTTGAGAGTGTAGGGTGTGAAGTTGAGTTTGTATAAGTGAAGCAGGTGTAGCTCTGAGAAAAGTGTTTGTTTCATTTATTGCTAAAGTTGAGATCCCTTTGATGTAAGCTTGTGAATGTATTCATTCCTTGCTGGGAATTAATGTCTACTTTTAAAACTGCACCTCCTAGCCGTGTAAGGACTTTGGTAAAACATGTTGTTATCTATGAACGTATCCATTTCCATGTTGCGGAGACCAATATGCTCTGGCCTTTTGTAATGTTAACTACTTGCGTAAAAAATGAACTTCCTATCAAAATGCAAACATTTATTGTTTTTCTTACCTTGGCTGTATTTGGTCGAGCAAGGCTTCGAAAATGTTGTTCTGACTGACATGGTTTAATGTCCAATGGGACCTTCAAAAACTTCTCTTCTCAAGGTTGATGAGCACAGCAGAAAACTAAATCAAATTCCTGAGGTTTATCTGTATTATTTATTTTTTAAATAATTAGTATTTATATCATATCCCATTGAACAGTTGTAAGCAGGCTAATGAGTTATACAGGATGTAACCATGTACACAAATTTAAAGTCAGTAGGATTTTTTTTTTTTTTAAGAAATAAATGTTTTGTCCAGCAAGGATACATTAAATTGATCAAAAGTGACAGTAAAGACATTAGTAATTAAAAAAAGAAGCATTTACTTTAAATAGAGTTTTTTTTTTTTTACTTTATCAGAGAATCTTGGAAAAGTATCTCTTTCCACAAAAATATGTAGCTGCATCAAATCAGCATATAAGAATGATTTCTGAAGCATCATGTGACACTGAAGACTGGAGGAATGAGCCTGAAAATTCAGCTTTGCCATCACAGTAAAAAATAGTTTTTAATTAAGTTCTTTTAAATTGTAATAATAATTCACAAGATTTACACAAGAAATAATAGAAAGCCTAAGATACATCAAAAACATTAAAGCATCTTACCAAACCCAAACATTTAGTGTATTAGCTTGTTAAGGTGTGGTCTGGTGCGATAAAACGTATTGGCGTTTTTAAGCTAAAATACACTGCTTCTTTTAAAAACAAATTTTTTTTTTTACTATGTATGAATATGATTAAGAACTGCTGGCAGTGTGGTTGAAAGAAAACGCCAAGACAAACCTCCTGAGAAACCCTGAAAGATTAGAAAAAGAGTCAATAAGTGTGATGATGTAACATAATCTTACTTTAAAGAAAAGCTTTAGTCTGATTTCAATACGCATGGTTGAACAAGTTGAATAGCTGCAAATTTTCTTTAGTGCTCAATACCTTTACTCATGGTAAAGCTCCTAATGACAGAGATCCCATTCAGAGCTTACATGTGAAAAATTCCTCATTTTAAAAGACAAATGTCCTATTAAATAGATTTGAACAAAGGTACCTTTATGTTATTCTTCTCTGGGTCATAATAAATGGAATTGGTGATTTGACAAAGATTAGATGTTGGAATGATTTTGAAACATACTAACTACGTTTTTCAACTTAAGGCCCTGCTGCTGACCAGTGATTTTTCAGAAATGCCCTTTCAGAAGCTGAAGGTCCAGTGAATGGGTCCGTGATGTTTGTTGTTTTGGAGCGGGTGCCCTGCTACTCTGCTGAAGTCATGGTTTTTGATTCTAGATAGCGTTATCTGCATTTCAAGGCAGCATTCTTGATTAAAACCTCCTGGTCGTTATGAGTTTATCACGAGTCATCCTTTGGAGCTTTGGAGTTTTTTTTTCTTCCATAATTTACTACGGTCACACGAATAACGTTGTTCTGTGATGTAAAAGTTTGTCGTTTTAAAATAAACTTTTGTTTCTTCTTCCGAGTTTGGCTCAAGGCACTCAAGAAGTGAGAAGTGTTACTGCTAAACCTTACTTCTGATGGAAAATTCAAAAACCTGATAAACATGTTTTCTCTTGTCACAGTGCGCTGATGTTGATGTTTTGCTTCCTCTTTTCTAACTCTGAATCAGCTCGTCTGTCTGCTGAGCTTTTTCCTCTTTTTCCATCATCCCAGCACTCGCTTTACCTCATGTCTGCTGTATTTGTGTCATAAAAGGTCACTGACATTTCACCTGAAACAGTCATCACTCAAAAGGAAGGCGCTCCGCTTTTGTTTTCTTTCTTCCCTAAATTATATCGAAACTCGGCTTAAACATTGAGTTCTCTTTAAACCGACTGAATAGCTGCAGAAATGGTCTTTGGGGGCTCTCTCTTGACCTTTAACTGTTTTTGATTCACAGGAGATCACACTGGGTAAAAACAGCAGAGTATTGGAGGGCTGGATAAATCCACCGCCTCCTGTTTACATGCAGTATTTCTTCTTCAATGTTACCAATCCAGATGAGTTCTTGGCTGGAAAGGAAAAACCCAAAGTCACTCAAATAGGGCCATATACCTACAGGTAATTTACAAAAGTCTCAAATTGAGATGTTCATGTTCATTGACATCATTCTTAGCTTTTTGTTTACTAAACTTTACTGTCTGTTGCCAGTGACAACAAGTTTGGCAATGTAGTTTAGAAATGACTCATGCTTTTAGAAGATAGGAAACAGGAAACATTTACCTGAACCACTTTAAACTGACAAAAATGTCAAATAATTATGATGCACTTGTCGTCAACTTGTCGGCAATAAAGCATTAAATTAATAAAAAAATAATAATAATAAACAGCACAACTGTTTTTTCAACATTGATAATTATAATAAATGTCTCTTAAGCAGCAAACCAGCATATTAGAATGATTTCTGAAGAAAATTTTCTTTTCAATTGAATAGTATTTCACAATTTTACTGTTTTATTATATTATATATATGTATATATATATATATATATATATATATTTTCCTTCAAAATTGTGAAATACTATTCAAATGAAAAGAAAATTTCCTTCAGAAATCATTCTAATATGCTGATTTGCTGCTTAAGAAACATTTATAATAATTATCAATGTTGAAAAAACACTTGTGCTGGGAAACTGGAAACATTTACCCTAACCACTTTAAACTGACAAAAATGTCAAATAATTATGATGCACTTGTCGTCAACTTGTCGGCAATAAAGCATTAAATTAATAAAAAAAATAATAATAATAAACAGCACAACTGTTTTTTCAACATTGATAATTATAATAAATGTCTCTTAAGCAGCAAACCAGCATATTAGAATGATTTCTGAAGAAAATTTTCTTTTCAATTGAATAGTATTTCACAATTTTACTATTTTATTATATATATATATATATATATATATATATATATGCAGCCTTAACGAGTATAAGAGACTTCTTTCAAAAACTTTTGAATGGTAGTGTTTTAGTGGTAGTGTTGTGTATTAGATTTAAAAACCTAGACCTGACAGTTGCCAATTCTGATATTAACATTATGCTACTCTCTTTTATCAGGGAATATCGACCAAGGGAAAATGTCTCTTTCCTTGAGAATGGGACGAAAATCTTTGCCACAAATCCCAAGAGCTTTGTGTTTCTTCGCAACTTGTCAGTGGGAGATCCTGAGGTTGACCGTGTGACAACCGTTAACATTCCATTCATTGTAAGAAGGGTTTTGTTTTCTTGTTTTTGCACTGGCAGCTAATCATTTTGCATTTAAAATTAGTCTGCTCGTAGGATTTTTTTAGTCATTTGCTTAGCGGATTAATGGATTTTAGTAATTTACCTAACAATTTGCTCTGAATTCTTTCCCTCTTTTTTTTTCAGGCCGTGATGAACGAGTTGAACTCCTACTCCTTCTTTCTGAGGACTGCTGTGTCTATGTGGATGGGATCCATGGGCATCGGCGTGTTTATGGATCGCACAGTCCATGAGGTCCTGTGGGGTTTCAAAGACCCGCTGATGTCCAAACTCCACACCATGAGACCAGAAGTGGATGAGCATTTCGGCCTTATGTACAACGTAAGAATCTGCAGTTTCATCATATTTAATGCTTTAGTCCGTCTGAAAAGAGAGATCTAAACATCTAAATGGGTCATATATTATATTTATGCAACCATACAAAGTACCACACTCAACCGCTAAAGCACATGTATACGATCCGAACAGGATAAGCAAGTGACGTCATTCTCATGATACTGCAGATGTTGACCAGTCTACCATGTTTGACACAGTGGCCTGGTTTACTGTAATTGGTTTTTAGGGATTATATATGTATTAGGAGAGATATTAAACATCTGTGGTTTGTGCAATCGTTGGTATCGTGCCTTGAAACAGCCATTTTGAATGGTTTGCATTAATAAAACATTCAGTCTTTCACTCTGTATCACATCATGGCATCTTAACAACCTACTTTCCTACTTCTTATGACTAGTCATCTTTACCCTAATGTGACAGAGTTCTTTTTATTGTTCTGGCGTTATATTAAATAGATTGTTTTTTTTTTTTTTACTGACTACAGAAAAATGGAACCCATGAGGGTGAATTTGTCTTCCACACCGGAGAGAAGAACTATATGGACTACGGCAAGATTGACACGTGGAACGGCATCAGGTACACTTCAGTCCTCGCGTAATCTGCGTTGACTTACTGACATAGAGAGTATTCTTGCACACTCATCTGCTCTCCTGCGTTGAGAAATTGGGTTAAACGCACAGCATGCTAGATAAGTCAATATCAAAGGATAAAGTACAAGAAAAGACCTCCTGTGCAACTCTACCCCATAACCTGATTTAAATGGACCTATATCCCAGTAATACAATTTCAATCGACTTCGCAGATGAAGAATATTCTATAGATATATTTTTCTTTTTCATTAGAACCTGTGACAAAAACAATCACCATCTCTTCATTTTCTTACTCTCAGTCAGATGAACTGGTGGTCGTCTAACCAGAGCAACATGATCAATGGTACCGATGGCAGTGTCTTCCACACCTTCCTTTCCAGGAAAGAACTCCTGTACATCTTTGCTGCTGATCTGTGCCGGTAAGCAACGTGTTTTAACCTGCAAATGGTCTTCGTTTTCTGTTTACACTTCTGGGCTTCGGGGTCTATACGACCCCAACAATTGATTGAGTAATTGTACAAAAAATATACATTTTTAATCATACAAATAATATATCATTTTTTTTTGTTTACTTCTCATCTATTCAATAATGCTGTGTTTTTGTAGATATAAAGTACTTTTGTATCCATATACCACACAATTCCTCAACTACACCATTAGCTTAGCATTAGCATATGAAGTGTTATTTTTTTATGATACATTGCATTTATGCTCTACTACTAGGCCTTCATTTCTGTGTAAAAATTTTCAGATTTATGCTAGATTTTTTTTTTTGACACACGAAGAATGTATTTATTAATTTTTTCCCACATTTCCCATTCATTTCAAGACATTTCCCAAAGACCAGAAGTGTAAAAAAAATTTTCGTACATACCTTCAGAACAACCGAATCAATCCCAGTTTTTTTTTGTGTGTGTATAGATAGATAATGTTTAAAAAAGTCACAAAATCTTATTCCACTGAGATGAAGGGAACCTTTTTTTTTTGTTAAGTAAAAGTCGATTGGGGTCGTATAGACTCCATGACCTGATTGAGGGCTACCACAAAGGTGATTGGTTACTTATGCTCTTTATCACTTGCAGATCCATTCATTTGGGTTACGTTAGAGACACAGAGGTGAAGGGTATCCCTGCGTTCCGCTTCGCCCCTCCTTCGGATGTACTGGCTCCCCCAGATGAGAATCCCAATAACGCTGGCTTCTGCGTGCCTGCTGGAGACTGTCTTGGAAAAGGAGTCCTTAAAGTGAGCGTCTGTCGGCAAGGTAAGCCTGTTCTGGGACACACCACAACTTAGCTCCAGACTAGCTCCAGACCACAGCAGTGTGTTTAGAGTAAGAAAGACGGGGGAGGTTTTCAAACGAATCATTACATTGGGGGAAATGGAATAACGTTTTAAATACCGTAATTTGTTTAACTAAGTACAGCAATCTAAGTGCACTAAAGATTATGGTGCCCTAAATAGTAGCTGGTTCAGACTGGCATTAAACTAAAGCAAACCAAGCATGTGTAAATAGTATTGAATTTCTGGGTGGCTTCGTAACTAAAGTTCAAGTTAAATCGGTCTGCTTTTGTTTGCACACTCTTGGACTATGAAATGGAAATCAGGGTTCAGCCCTTAATGGATAACTTTTAGTACAGTTTTATGACTCAAGCACTTGACACTCTGTAGGTGTCCTCAGACAGATTACTCTATCTTGGCCTCCATTGCTTCCGCCATTAACTAGTAGGCTAATATTGTTATTGAACGCTGGTAAACTCTCGCTTTTTTGTCATGTGAGTGATCCTGATATGAAACAGCTGTGGAAATTTCCACATGCTTTGATTAGTCATCTTTTCTAGGAAGGTTCATGATAGTACGATTCTGGTTATATTTTGCGAGGGTGTTATTAAGGATTGAGAGATGGTATTTGGTACATATTATTCTTAGCTAATGATAAGCTAGGGAGAATGTATGATTTTGTTTTCTTGGTGGGTGTTCAGGTACTTGCCGTCTTGTCATTGAGTATGGCCCTCCAAAAGAGGAAGTTTAATTTTCTGTTAGTGTGAATAAAAAAAAAACTCGGAAATGCCTCGGGTTGTTACTTAAGATAATGGAAAATGTCATAACGAGAAGTAACATCTAAAAACTGCACATTTGCAGTCTAAACGGTCACCTGACCCAATGGGGCCAGTGATGCATTATATTATTTGCATTCATTGATTTTTATTTATTTATTTATTTTCATTGACTGCCATAAATAATAAATAAATAAATAAATATATATATATATATATATATATATATATATTTTACATTTGTAGGTGGAAATTTTGCATCTAGAATGGGTTTTTAAATTATAAACAAATCAGTAATATTTTGCGTTGTATGTTACAACTGAAGTACTTGATTTCTGTCAGTGTTCTGTTATAGCTGTAAAGTGTAACAATAATAATAATAATATATTTGTTGTAAATGAAAAATATAAATACATTTTTTTTTACTCATTTCAATGTTGTGGTTTTGTTTTGGTAAAAATCTAAACTACTGGCCTAGTTGGCTTGATATGACTTTAATCATAAAATGTATTATCTTTATGACCAGCCATTATAAATGTAATAGTTGATAAAGAACTGATTATTATTGCATTTTGCACATAAAACTTTCCTAGCTAGATGCTATATATACCTAACTGTCAACTAATGTGACTAAAGGAACCGCAACTAATGCCACGTGTTCCTATTTCCTCTTCACTGCACAGGTGCACCCATTGTTGTATCATTCCCTCATTTCTACCAAGCCGACGAGAGGTACATCAATGCCATTGAAGGAATGAACCCAAATGAAGAGGAACACGAAACATACCTCGACATCAACCCGGTACGCAGTGTTGACGCTTTGAGATTTTCACTTTTACAGCAACAGCACAGATCAGTTAGCACTCTAGTGGTTTGTAATGTGAAAGTAGTATAGACCCGTCCTTACATGACGGGAAATAACAAGGTGATTCACTCTGGTAACCACAGTGAATGTGAAACCACACCTGCCTAACTTTCCCTAGACTCCCAGAGAGAGTAACTGTAGCATGGCGTGATGGAAAATGCACTCATCAAGTTGTTGTGTCATCGACTCTTCTCACTGATTAAAGACTGTGTGATGTGGTGAATATTGGGTGATTTTTATTTATTTTTTGCTTGTTCTCTGTAGACCACAGGGGTCCCCATTCGTGCTTGTAAGAGAGCTCAGCTCAATGTCATACTGAAGAGAGTCAGTGGCTTCGTGTGAGTAAAACACCTCACAAAAAAAACTTTAAATAGTGATTTAGAATGACAAATTGGGTAATGAGGCTTCCTTTTTTTTCTCCTCAGCAAAACAAAATTCCTGAATGAGACCATTTTCCCCATTATGTATGTCAACGAGGTAAGTTCACTTTCTTCAGATTAGGGATGTACCCGAACTGTACTGTTTTCGGAAAGTAAATGACACGTTCTACGGAGCCCCTAAAGATGGAAAACATATATTCCAATGCTTTTGCGTTCTCTCAAGTTGGGTAATTATATTGTGTATAATTTGCAGGCATCTGGGAGCCGCTATTAATATCACTTTTGAACGCACGATTGGGTGTCACTTTCACTTTCCAATTCGCAACCATGTGTACTGACCACACATTTTATATAAAAAAAAAGATGTTTGTCAATGACACTCAAGATCTGTTGCACACCAAAGTGAAATCATGATGTAATTTCTGAATTCAGATTTAGGCTCCGGACACATCCCTACTTCAGATTATCGATTTGCCTTTTCACACAGTTAGTTTGTTTTCCAATGAATTTAATTTTGTACTTTGTAATTTTCAGACTGCAACTATCGACGATGATTCCGCAACCCAGATGAGGACGCTTCTGTTGATTGTAACGTTGGTGTCCAACTTCCCAGTCATCATTGTTGGGATGGGGGTCATTTTACTTATGGTCCTAATCTTCCTCATCTGCAGGAACCGCCAGAGACAGGTAAAAATCAGCGATAAGATGTTTATGACCGTCCGTCTTGGATATTGGCTAGTTATGCAAGACTAAAAAATGTCATTTGTATGTTGACAATATCTTTTCGTAGAAACATATTAATAGAGTAACAGTTAATATTCTCCAGAAAGGCCAGTATGGGAAAGAGCCTTTAAAAAGCCATCAACCTTATACACCCTTGGCTTGAAAGTCAATTACATGTCACTCGCCTTGAACACACTAACCCTAGCTTTGAAACCCATGCATGCACTCGCATGAGGGAATGCATGTGCTCTAGTGCACGCATTACTTTATGAAATGTTTGCAGTTTTACAGTCAGCTTAATTCGATTGGTCATCTATTGTTATGACCTAAAATACATTTATAAATGAATGGTTGAGGTTCGGATTTGTTTTGCACATTTATATACTAATCTTCAGAAGGTCTTATAGCATTTATTTTATGTCTTGAAATGTACAATGCTGTTATGTTTTGATTTCCAGTAACATTTTTCCTCCCTTTGTTTTGTTTTTTTTGTTGTTGTTCCAATTCAGAATGAAGTAAAACGTATTGATTTTACTGAAGCTTTTCATTCTTTTGCTGTAAGTCTTCATTTTTCCCTTACACACACAATTTGCTTTCATTTTGTTCAAATTTGCCTGTTATATCATTATTGTATTTGGTCATTTTGAGCATTTGCATAGAAATACCTTGTTTCTGCATATCATTTTAATTGCTTTTCCTGCATGGTGATCGTAATGTACTTTCACAGCATTAGATTTAGATGTTTAGCTCCATGTGTTAGTGGTACACGATTTCACGTTTGACATCATCTTTTCGTGGTTTTAACAATGCGCACGCTAATGTTCTTGTATGTTCTGTACAGACGACGAAAGACGAAACGGCTTACACCCAAGTGAGCAACCAAGCGGAGGATTCGCCGGAGAACCGCAACAGTCAGCCTTTGAGGAACGGATCGTATATTGCCATGTCACCAGTGGAGGCACAAAAGTGTTGATGAAGGACATGACGTCTACCAGTAGTGCATCCTCACCCTTTTTTTATGTTTTCACTGTGCGATTCGTCTGCGCGCTCACCACCGTATGCCGAGGGTCACTTATTTTGATTCGTGACTTTTTTTTCTTTCTTTGAACATGGCCTTCTCAAACGGCCATATCTTCAAATGTAAATTCAAAAGATCCAATTCAATTTTGAACAACCGTTTCTGGGCTTCCAGAGGCTCCTGTTGCCTAGTCCTGAGAGGCCTGAAACACTCTTTTGCCTTTTCAAAACACACATATGCATTGCATGCCAACAGAGTCCATAGTTCCTGAAGGCACGAGAGCGTGTGAGGGGAGAACACTCGTGTCCAGGACGGCCTTAAAGTGTTTCAGATCTCTTGCCACACTACTGTATTCAGGTCTACACAGGCAGACCTTCAACTAACACAACTCTTCATGTGTCAAACCCTTTGATAATGAGCAAACTATTGATTTACCTCCTCTAAGAGTATTAGAGAGCTAAAAAGGTCTAATATGCTAACAAAATCTGGATCTTATCCAGAACTTGTGTGTGTGTGTGTGTGTGTGTGTGTGTGTGATTCTACATACCAGTATGTGTGTGTGTAATTATGTGTGTGTATGTCTGCAGGCATGTCAATGCTTGCATGTTTGTGTCACACTGTAGTGAACTGCTCTGGTGGATCACCGTCCACCTCTTTGCACGATGCAGTGTGACGACAAGTGGAAACTAGTGATTTTGAGCGGTCCTCTCTATTTCATAGCATCAGAGTCAGAAATATTTCAGTGATGGCGGCTGTTGAAAAAAGGTCAGACATTTTCCTTTAAGGCATCAAAGTCGTACTAGCTTTTAGCGTTTTGTTAGAAAATGAACAACAGACGTAGAACACTCACAAGCGAGACTTGAACATTTTCTGCCTTACGAACACTTACGAACACAATGTGATTCTTCTGCGTGGTAATGGCAGGTACACGGTGGAACTAGGCGAAACGTCAGGCAAACTTCTGTGAATCGGTGTCGGACTTGGAACTACATCCCTAAACGCGTCTGCGAGAGCACAACGACAGTTCGCTGAACCCACAGTCTAATCAGAGCGGATTAGGGTTATATGGGGTTATCGGTGAGGTTTGCACATCATTTTCTTTATTTGTGCACAGTGGGCGAAAGAGACTAGCACTTGAATCACTGCTTGTCTGTTGAGTTTAATATTCGTTAAGATTTTTCTGTCTTTGATTGTCGGAGCCTTCGCCATTGCTTTGTCATCAGTCTGAAGTTGCCATAACCCTTGTGTGTAGTAACACAAGACTTGAGTATCTGTAAATCATTCCCGTTTTGGAGACACTCGCTGGAATGATTGGTGTTTGTTACTTTTACTTGACGTAAACATCTGTTACCTAATTGCGACCACGGTTTGCGTGGATTGCAGTGCACATTGTTGCGTCTTTTGCCTGTGCCATGGATTTCGCTTACCTTAAAGATTTAGTCCAAGGTTTAAACTGGAAACACTGTATTCGCAGTGTCTTGTGCAGCTGAATCTGAACAGAAAACTGAGGGAAAGTCATTCAAGCTTAAGTGTAATTCACTACCGGACCATTACAGTGGCTCTCGGAGAGTAACAGAGTTTTTGTTGTCAGTGCAAATAGTATATCAATTTACTTTTAAAATGGTCTTTGACGGTCTCCTTTAACACACTAGGCTGAACAAGGACCCAGCTGGAACAGTGGTGGGACGTAAAACGTGACTTGAGTATGAAAGATCTATGAACCTGAGCCATTTCTGTACAGATTCCTCACGGTGACTTTTGCCCCGATATGCTTGACCAAAGATTAGATAACTGGCTTGTTTGCTGTCCACACAGATAGCTGTATCGCTATCGACTTCCCATTTGAAAGAGCATTAGAACCTCATTGTCTACAAAGGCAAATAAGAAAAAAAAAAATAAGAAAAAAAATATTTTCCAGGGCATACTATATGAGTTTATAAAGTTTAATACTGCAAAGAACTTGGGATGTAAAGTGTTGCCACAGTGTGCGAAGAAACTCTCAGTATTATGTATTGACATAGCAATACAACATGTAAAAAGCAAATTTTATAATGAAGTAAAAGATTTTGTAATCAGACAAANGGCTTGTTTGAGATGAGCAAATTCTGCGCAGAATCGATCACCGGTGATCAGCGCGAGATGCATGCCGGTTAGAAATGTGTTTTTTTTAATCTATTTTTTATTTTTTTTTATTTTTTTTTGCAGAATCCGACAGGTGCGCCTTGCCCGGTTATAAATGTGTCCGAGAGCGGTCCGCCTGGCTCTGATGTCATGCCGACGTTTGTCAAAAAACTCTCGCGAGCGCAAGGCGAAAGGGTCGGATTCTGCAGTCGCTTGCAGTCGGTTGCTCTCCACCGACTGCGCTGATCAAAAGCATGATGGGAAACGACTTGCTGACGACACAGCTTAATGCTCATTGGTTTAAACAACAGTGATTCCATATAGAGAGCCTAAGTCCTCCTCTTCCAGTCGACCACCATGGGACCTTATTTCGTAAAAATATTGAATGGTAGTCAATGGCGAGAGACAACAAATATTTTGATCTCGTTTGAATTGTGCCCTGAATTACACATGTGATGTTTGTCAATTTAAAAGATACATTTTAAAGCCACACCGTGGAACTCTTCAACCTTTATAATATATTACCAAAACCCATTGAGATGGTAGATCGACTTGCAATAGGTTGAATGACGCGTCTGCCGTCTCCTGAAGGTGTCTGTATCGCTTTTACTTGCACTTTGTAACTTCGGGTTTCGGGTAGGAACCCGAGCATAAAAACAACTACAAAATTCGACTGCTTTATGGCATACGTCACTTCCCCACCACCCACAACTTCCTCAGAATCTAACGCTAGTGCTCAACTCGCGTTTGACTGCCGTCTGTATGTTTTCGTCATGCCGAACAACAGCTACAAGGAAGAAGGCAACGGTTTTATCAGAGGAAACTAAAAAAAGAAAAGGTGAGAGTGACAAATTAAAAGCCAGGACTAGGATTAACACATTGGTCCAGCTTTCGTTTCCTCGCTGGCGTGAGATTACGGAGGAGAAAGAGTGCTCGACCGATGCGGACGCTTGCCTGCACACAAAGCCGATGGTGTTATGAGTGTAATAAAATGCCCACAGCCCAGTGTTCATTTCTACAAATAGCCCGCGTCAGTGCAGGGCTCGCACTAATAAAATCGGCTCATGTCAAATAACGATACATTAAATGTAGTGAACGTCCCCACGACTCAGTAGTACCCACAAACACTAACATTACACACTACATGTCCCACGGTTGCTATAAAAATAAACCAAAACACATCCCAAGTCTCCCGTAAGTTCCGGGAGTCTCCCGCATATTGATAGCGTCTCCCTGATGCCCGCAAATTAGTTAAAAACTCCCGGAATCTAGAGCGAGACATACTGCGCGCATAACAGCGTGCTGCGCGTGCACTGTACGGAGGGAGAGACTTTGCGAGTGTGCCTCGCGAAAGTTTGCCCACCCTCACACCCAGAATTCTGTTATCGAAATATACCTCCCGGAAATGAATTCTTGCAGGTTGGGATAACAGTCAGCTCTGGCCGATGGTGTTTTCAGTGCAGTGAATGTGTCCGCGGTCCCGCGCCCACATTCACTCACAGACATGATAATCTCCACGGGGATCACCCCGCTCGCTCTCTCAGCCGGCTGCTATAAGGGAATCAAGCGCGGCAAGGTTGCCCGGCCCGCCTCATACACTGCAAGCACCATAGACAGTAAAAGCGCAAGCACACACAATCTAAAGACATGGAGGCTGACCGGTTGACTGTTTGTTGACTTTAATTTGCGACAGTGCTGCGGAGCTTGTGGCCTCTAGGGACGCTGGATGTGAAAATTACATGTCGAGCACCATCTAGTGGCCAAAAAGTTCCGCAGTGTGGCTTTAAAGTAAAGAAAGTCGCAGTTTGATGTAAAACCCTTGAGGTATAAGACTACAAACCCCAAAGGCGCACAATTTCTCCCAATGAATGAAGCTAACTTTACTGAGGCTGTCTGTCATTGTTTCTATAGTCGTACGTTATAATCGTAACGTTATACGCCGTCCTACCTGAGTGTTTTGTACCAGACTGCACACACACGACGCACACACGAGCAGCGATCTCGTTTCTCTTCCCGGGAGTTGTAGTTCATAGAGCGATTTTCACATAAAATTAAATGTTACTCTTCTGTTGTATGACAAACTGCGACGTTTTTGACTTTCAGAATTATCTTTTAAATTGACAAACATCATATGTGTAATTGAGGGAACAGTTCAGAAGGAATAAAAAGAAAAGTTGTCTCTCGCCATTGACAACCATTCATATTTTTTCCGAAATAAGGTCCCATGAGCTGGAAGCGGAGGGGCGGGACTTAGGCTCTATATTCATAACGCTAAATTCTCCAAATCAAGGCCATGTTTAATTTTTTTCAAATTGAAACTGATATATATTGTGAGTCTCTTAAACAGGTTAAAAATAAGAAAGCTATGTCAGTAGCACAAATATACTCTTAAATGTTCAAGTGAAAATTAGGAAAATATCTCTCATTTTATAGATGATGAAGTTTGTAAGTCTGTCTATTTAAGCTAAGCTTATTTTGATTTATTTTGATTTTTTTATTATTAATTTTTCGGATGTTTATTTATTTGTCGCTGTATAATATTTGTTTTACGAATTTTGGTGCTTGTATGTTTGTAACTTGCATTCTAATAAAAAATAAAATAAATAAAAATAATTAAAAAAAAACAACAGTGATGAATTGTTCTCTTTTAAAATGTTTGATTTTAAATTTTTTTTTTTTAAATCTTTGTTTTTATGTGTATACATATGGGTGAATAAACTCTCTGACAGTGCCATATGGGTTATTATGTGATGTGATTTTTATTAAAATATATAAAAACACGTCTGTATTAGATAAAATATGTGATAAACACATATTTGGAATGTAGGCTAATTAAATAACAAGTGCTTTGGGTGTCTTGTTCATTTATTTTCATATAAAAGCAACAGAACTTAAATCACATCCAGTTTATTAGCAACACCAGATATCTGACCAACACGTGCACGAGCGTGAATCCCCCGGTATCAGACTTTGATCTCACAGGTGTCTGATCCACTGCGAGAACCGAGATTTGTCCGGCTTGAATGCGCTTTTGTCACTCCTCCTCTGAAGCCGCCTACTCTCGACTACATTGCAGGCGAGGCGAGGCGCATCTCAAAAAACCTTCTTCTCTCTCTGCCGAGCTCGCGAGCGCGGAGGAGTTGTCAAAATTTACAAGCCAAGTCGACCGAGTTTTCCCAAGAGAAGGCAAGATCTCTGTAGCCTACATTTAGAAACCCCCTGGAAGAAGAGCTCTTTAAGTGAAGTCTGAGAGGTTTGAAACATAAGAAATGGCAGGACCAACTGCGCTCGGATTGATTTTTACCTTACTGCTCTCAGGGAGCTTCTGTGCGACGCAGGAAAAGAAAGGTAGGAGACAGACACTTATTATGAGACGGCTTGTTGTGTAAAGATTAAACCTTCATCCGAATGATCTCCGGTAGATATTGATGGTGTCGTCGCACACACCTTCGGAGATGTGCGTGCGCTAGAGGAACCTCAGTCAGTCAGCGTGAGAACAGTGGAAGTGTGTTACTGTCCCATAGAGAACTTACACTGAACTCTATTAGTCTTTAAATTTACATTTGCAGATAATAATACTCCTCCTGGAGACTGGAGCAACCTGAGGTTGAGTCTATAGGCTAGTGACTAATACAAGTATGAAAAAACTTGACTGCTTTAAGGTGACGGTTAGTCGTAGTGACGCACGCTTTACAGGTTTTGTTTGTTAACATGACTATGTAACGTTTCTTCAACTGCATTTATTGATATTAGTTAATGTTTATCTCAGCATTTTATATCTTTTAAGTTTCAATTTGATTATTTAACAGATAAATAAATTCAAAGTGGTTGAAAAACTGCAGTGAGCAGCAGGTTATGAATTTTGAAATTCAGTTTTTAATTTTAATGTGTTGACTTAAAAAAAAAAAAAAAAAAAAAAAAAAAAATCAATGCATGTAGTTTTTACCTGAATGATTTACACCTGATCAACACTGGAAACAACTTTTGTCAGTTTAAAAAAATGTAGTAGCTGTATTAAATAAAATATTTGACTTCTTACATGAAGCTTCATTAGGCTCATTAAAATGTGTGCTAACCACATTTTCTGATATGAATCCAATTAACTAAAGCCATTTATTTAATCTATGATGTTAGTTTTAGAGTATTTCACATGTATTATATTTGATTAAAGTGTGTTTATATGTCACTCTGCATATTATTTAGACGGTCTCAGGGGTGTACTGTGTGTAACACATGGCTCTGCCAATACTGACAGATGGGACACACAAATCACTTTATTACAGTCTGGTTCCTCATTAGGACTTATTCAGGTTTACAGTCACGGTGCCAAGAGAGGAATCATCTTCCTTTTAAGTTCTGTTTTGACAGTCATCAATCACGTAACCTTTTCATGCAGATTTTTGTTTGTTTGAATTTGCAATCTATATGGGAGTATATTGAACAAGTGGCTTTACATGGTCACTCATTATCATTGTGAAATGCACTGACTGCCAGTTTTCCAGACCCCATAGTGGTTTAGAGGACGAGTATTAGTCAATGAGGACAGTCGTAAAGTCCTATAATATCTTCGGGCTCCCTGTTGTGGCTCGCTCAAGGTCAGAGAAATGCTGCAGTTATCTGTTATATTTAAGACCGAAATAGCTGTTTAGTCTTCAGACTATCCATCTGAATACCAGATAAAAATGTGTTTACTGGCCCATATTCCAAGGTGCACCGTGTTGAGCTATATTTGAATTTTCAGTAAAATGTCCCACATTTGGTCATCAGTCCGGCCACGTGCAGCGTAGACTTTTAAAATTGAAACTAGTGGGATGATAGTAGTGGGATACAATATGATAGTAGTGGGATGAGTTACGTCAGACAGTAGATCTAGTACATAAAATAAAAGTTACATCCTAAAGCACCCACCACCCGGAGACTTCACATAAAAATAGGAATACTGGCCTGCAGAGGTAATAGCAAAACCCGGCAAGTGGATCCTTGTAATGTGTGATTACAACCCCTTCACACACAGGCATTAAACATGGGATTCGTTTTAGAAAAAAAGTTACATTTAGCACCTTCTGTTGGTTGAGCAAGCTCAAACGTGAACCTCACTGGTTCTTGCAGAATCCGAAACTCGCTGCGTAACACAAGAATGAATCTCATTGGTTCTTGCTGAAGCTCAAATGTGCTGCATAACACGAGAATGAACCTCATTGGTTCTCACACGTCAAGGGAACATGCTTGAGCCTCCGTTTACCACTGTCTAAATTAAATGTTCATCATATAAAGCGATCAAGTCTCTTCAGAAAGTTTTGTCTAGTCCACTCAATTCAGATGGATTGCTTCCTATAACAACGTCTGATGTTTTACGTGACTTACTCGTGGTACGTAAACCACGCAAAATCAGATGAGATCGTTCAGACTGAGACTGTTTTCCTGAAATGCGATTTCAATGCGTAGGATTTCAAACCACATATGAATATAGGTTGAAACGGATTTTGTAAAGATTGGATTTCATGTGATTTTTAACCGTTCACACTCTAAATCTGATTTGTGCTAAAAATTGGATTTGGACTGACAGTCTGAACTAGTAAATGATGACAGAATTTTATTTTTTTGGGTGAACTATTGCTTTAAGGTTTTTAATCACTTTTTTAAATGATTATACACCTCTACATAAATACAGTGTCAAATGGAAATTACATTTTTTTTTCCTTCAGCGACAATTTGATTTCTTGATTCCATTGACATGACACAAGTCTCCACCTACTGTCACTCACTCCATGTGCCTGACACCAACATCAAAAATGTTTATTCTATTTGTGCATTATTGTTTACACTATAACCTGAGTTGCAAAAAATATCCCAATCTCTTCACTAATGCTGATCTGCAGTCTCATTGTCCTCATCTGTCATCGAGCTCCCACACTGTTTGCACTGTTTGCTTTTGATTGGTTTTGCAGACGGCCGGCTGTGATTTCTCTCAGCAAAACCTAATGCCAAACGCGTCAATTTCCTGTCTTTAATATCTGCATACTTCCTCCTCCACCTCTGCTAAGTTTTCATCATCCGTCCTGAACGCTCTTTCATGAGTTACCGGAGCCCACTCAAGGCTTCACATCGAGTTCCCAGGAGGGCGATTGTAAAAAACTGTCCGTTACTAAGGGGCCTTCCGCATGTGAAGGCTGGTTGTTTCTGGGTCTTGATGCCTCTCCCCGGTGATTGGCTTTTCCTAGAACCACATCTGCCTGAAGGGGTTGGAGTTTCAAGAGCTGCGGAGAAAGTCAAACGAGTTTGTCGGGGAAAAAAGCAGACCTCCTGCTTTGATAAACTGTTGAGCAGTTTCCTAAAACTGGCGAAGAAGTCAGTGCCTCATTTTGCTGGAGTTGACTCTCTGTCTTTGGCAGAGAACAATGAGGGTTTTCTTCAATCAGTTTTTGAATGTTTCTCCATGCGACTGCTATAAAGGAAAGAGCTGTGACAGAAGTGTCATGTTTTTGAGTTCCTTTGTCATTCTCAGTCGTGTGGCGGCTCTGACAGTTTGATTGTGCGCTGATTGCGATGACAGCGACTGAGCTTGAAATGGACAGAATCGCTGTGATTACCTGTGACAGTCTTTCTTTCTTTCTTTCTTTCTTTCTTTCTTTCTTTCTTTCTTTCTTTCTTTCTTTCTTTCTTTCTTTCTTTCTTTCTTTCTTTCCTCACATGAACTCTCATCGTCTCTGCATGTTATCACACATGCTAATTCTCATGCTAATATCAAGCTAATCTGCTTTGAAACAATATGTATGTTAGGCAGAGGAGAACTGGGCCCCGACTGAGCCTGGGTTCTCCCAAGGTTTTTTTCTCCATCCAATCACCTGATGGAGTTTTGGTTCCTTGCCACTGTTGCCTTGCTTTTGGCTTGCTTAGTTGGGGACGTTTAATATTCTGAAAACATCTATATAAATAAATGTGACTTGACTTGACTAATTCTGTGATGTTTGCCGGCTCACGTGAAGTCTATGTTTGGAAACTCATGAATGTCCCCCGGAAATGGCGCATTGAACCTGCACGTCATGGAGTTTATAGTACTTCCATTATTGAGTGAGCCACTATGGTGGAAAGAGACCTTGGAATCCAGGCTGGAAAAAATAAACGTTCCTTGTCGTTCTTGACATCTCAGTAAGGTGTGATTATCCAGTATGCTATTAGTACTTCCGGCTACGTCAACCGTGACCTTTTGAACGTAATTGCATATCACGTGACTTTACAAAAACACCTCACAGAATAGAGCAAGGCGAGCATTTGTCCTTATAAAACTTCTATTTGTTTATTTAGTTTTGAAATAACCGATCGTTTTGCAAGATAAGACCCTTATTCATCGTCTGTCGTCGTTTAAAGCCATTTGAAGCTGCACTGAAACTGCCATTGACTGTATTTTGGTCCTTGGACCGTTTGGTAAAAAAAGTTCATTAAATTACTTAAAAAGTTCAATAATTAAAGTACAGTACATGGAGGAAAATCCAGGAATGTTTTCACCCAGATGAGTGTGAGAAAGAGTAAGTTCTCATAGAATTCATATGAGCACAAGCACTATTTATCTTGGCCCACTGCAGAGTTTTTCCTTTGCCGCTCAGAGCACTTAAAACGAACGCCCACCTTGACTGAATTCTGATTGGTTCATTAGCTGCAAAAGACACCCTACATGCCCCTCGGATTGGCTCTGGCTCTAGCATTTGCAGTTGATTTATTACAATCATTTTAGTCTTTTATTTGTATCAAATAAAGATTTTGGAAATGGCTTGGCTAGAGCCTAGACCTGAATTCAAGTGAAAACCTGTGGTTTGACCTGCAAACACACTCCATCTAATTTGTGTAATCGGGACACATTTGCATTGCAAAATGGGCTAAAATTCCACAAATGTGAAAAACAAGAAGGCTCAAGAAGGCTGTGATTTTTGTTAAAGGACTGTGTATAAAGTTTTTTGTACTCACCAAGACTGCATATATTTTGTTAAACATACAGGAAAAAGTCATATTGTGAAATATTATTACAAATAAAATAACTGTTTTAGACAGCTTAATGTTTTTAAAATACATATACTTAATTCCTTTGATTGCAAAGCTGATCATCCTTCAGAAATAATTTTAATATGCCAATTTCGTGCTCAAGAATATGTATAATTTTTCTATTTTGCTAAATGTACCATATTGTGTTATATTAACAGACAAATATACCAGTATGGCTTCTCTTGAGACGGTAGTTAATGATATGCTAAAGCTCGCCCTGTACATTGCCGTGATTGGTTACAAGGTATTTGGTGTTTCTGAGACTGTTTTAATCTGGTTTAGATCTTATCTCTTTGATTGTCAACAGTTTGTCTGCATGAGTGGTTTCTGGTCTGAGGTTGGCTCTTGTCTGTACCATAGGTCTGTACGGGTGTTCCTCAAGGTTCAATTTTAGGCCCCTTTCTCTTCAGCATTTACATATTTCCACTCAGACTGCTCTGGGCTTAATTATCACTTTCAAGCAGATGACAGTTAGATTTATATTCACTCTAAGCCTGTTCAATATTTGGATGTTGCTTTTTTAATACATTGCATGTGCACATGTGCAGTACACTATTAAGCACTCCTTTTTTCATCTCAGAAATATTGCTTGACTCTGCTCTATGTTACCCCTCTCTGTGACTGAAAAGCTTATTAATACCTTTGTTTTTTGACTATTGCAATGCACTTCTTGTTGGGATTCCTAAAAACAGGCTTAACAAACTGCAATATGTGTAAAATTCAGCTGCAAGGACCCTGATTAGTTGGGAGAAATGAGCACATTAAACCAATTCTAATGTCTCTGGACTGGCTCCCGGTCAGGTTCCACTGCATGGCCTGAGTGTCTGTTTGCAATTTTAACTTTACACTCCCGTACGTCATCTACACTCCCCACAAGCTGATCTATTGGCAGACACGGTTGCGTTCTGTAGGGGAGATCTGTAGGGTCTTATTCATCCTATAAATGCTCCTAGGCTTTGGAAGGCACTCCCTCCTTATATTAGAGATGCACAAATCAAAATATTTTTAAATCTTATATATAAAAAATATATATATAAAAAATAGGTTGGCTTTTCCTAGATTGTCCTAAATTTTATATTCTAGTTTGTAGTTTTTTATTTTAAAATTCCTTGAGTTGGATATTTATTTACTTGTTCTATTATGTTATGTGCCTTGAGAAGCTGCTTTAAAGGCACTATATAAAAATAAAGTTATTATTATTATAAGTAAGTTTGCAAGAAAAGAAACACTTGAGATTTCAAACCTTGTTTTTGAGGCTGTCTTCGCAGTTTTTAGGAGAAAATACTCAGTAATGGTGTTAACTTAGGGATTTGCACATACGTCACATAGACATAATAACAACATTAAAAACTTTAATATATTTGAAGGAACTGTGATAGATTTTTTAAAAAGAATTCTTTGGTAAATAGAAAGTTACAAAAACAGCATTTATTTTGAACTAGAAATATTTTGTAACAGCCTAATAAAAGTCACTTTTGATCAATTTAATGCATCTTTGCAGAATAAAATTATTTTAATTAAATTTAAAATATCTTACTGACCCCATGTGCATTATTGAATGAATACAACTGATTCCAATGTGTTTGAAAATATATTTAAAAATAATTTGGTTGGGAAGTGTAATGGATAAATATATTACAAAAAGAAACCAAAAACATTTTTGCTTCTATTGGAATGTGAGTTTTATTGCTTTTTTCCATGAAGGCCTCAGTGGATTTATTTTTTTTTTTCTTTCTTTCTGTGTGTTTAAGTGTGTAAGGGAACAAACATCAAACTGACCCTCCTGGGAACAGTGGATGACCATTATCAGATCCTGGTAAAAATGTACAGCAACTGCACCGTGGTTCTGGAAAACCTGGAAATCACATATATGACAGAAAACCATGACTTGTCTTTTCTCAGGGTATGATATATATCTGTTTACAAACACTATGTTCAGTGCTACTGTACTGTTATCTTACTGTTTGGTTATTGTAAGTCATCTACGTATATACCAATGTTTTATTGTTTCTAATTTTTAGAGCATCCAAGAAGTTGGTGGGTATGTTCTTATTGGCCTCAACTCGGCTCCCAGCATTCCCCTTGAGAATCTGCGCATCATTCGTGGCCACTCCCTTTTTAACTACAAATTTGCCTTGACCGTCCTACTAAACTCCAACAACAGCATAGGACTGAATCAGTTACCGCTGACTAGCTTAACTGGTATGTGCTTATATAAAAGTGATCTTTGTCCTATTTTTTTTGTCTTTCAAATGAGAATAACACATCCTTCTAACTGACCTGTATGTCTTTCGTACATTTGTTTTATAGAGGGAATAACATTCATTAATCTCCATGCCTAGTGCTGAAAGTTTTATTTGGAAAACAATAATAGACCTAAATTTCCACTGTCACTCTTATTAGTGAAGTTTGTCATACAGTACATTAATGCATTGTTCAAACACTGTCATTTTCCCTCCTAGAAATACTGAAGGGTGGAATAAAATTTGCTAGTAACAGTCATTTATGTCATGTGGAGACCATCCAGTGGACTGATATTCTGAACATGAAGAGCAATCCTACAATTGAAATTAAAGAGGAGACCAAACCAAACTTTCCAAGACACTGTAAGTCCCTCAAGATTCTTATTATTTTTAAAATATAAACATGCATATTAAATGGTGTTAATTAATTTTGCACGTTGATTAAGAATGTTCTACTCTACCTCCCGCAGGTGAGAAGTGTGACCCAGACTGTCACAATGGTTCCTGTTGGGGCCCTGGCCCTCAAAACTGTCAAACAAGTAAGTGGTCCTAAACTACTCTAATGACTGAATCTGAAAGATTTTCTACTTTCAGGCTTTTTACTAAATTAGTGAAAACATGCTATGTAGAAGTGTTTAAAAACAACAACAACACAGAAACCTTTTAAAAGCCAGCGACTGGAAACAAAGACACTTCACACTACTATTCAAAAGTCTATTAGAAAATCAGAATTCAAAGATCTCTCTAAACATGCCTTTCTGATAGCCTACTCTGCTCTGATTGGTCAAATGGCCCAGCCTGTTGTGATTGGTCTACTCTGCTCTGATTGGTCAAATGGCCCAGCCTGTTGTGATTGGTCTACTCTGCTCTGATTGGTCAAATGGCCCAGCCTGTTCTTATTGGTCTACTCTGCTCTGATTGGTCAAATTGCCCAGCCTGTTGTGATTGGTCTACTCTGCTCTGATTGGTCAAATGGCCCAGCCTGTTGTGATTGGTCTACTCTGCTCTGATTGGTCAGATGGTCCAGTCTGTTGTGATTGGTCTACTCTGCTCTGATTGGTCAGATGCCCCAGTCTGTTGTGATTTGTCTACTCTGCTCTGATTGGTTAAATGGCCCAGTCTGTTGTGATTTGTCTACTCTGCTCTGATTGGTCAGATGGCCCAGTCTGTTGTGGTTTGTCTACTCTGCTCTGATTGGTCAGATGGCCCAGCCTGTTGTGATTGGTCTACTCTGCTCTGATTGGTCAGATGCCCCAGTCTGTTGTGATTTGTCTACTCTGCTCTGATTGGTCAGATGCCCCAGTCTGTTGTGATTTGTCTACTCTGCTCTGATTGGTCAGATGGCCCAGTCTGTTGTGGTTTGTCTACTCTGCTCTGATTGGTCAGATGGCCCAGCCTGTTGTGATTGGTCTACTCTGCTCTGATTGGTCAGATGTCCCAGTCTGTTGTGATTGTTCTACTCTGCTCTGATTGGTCAGATGGCCCAGACTGTTGTGATTGGTTTACTCTGCTCTGATTGGTCAGATGGCCCAGTCTGTTGTGATTGGTCTACTCTGCTCTGATTGGTCAGATGGCTCAGTCTGTTGTGATTGGTCTACTCTGCTTTGATTGGTCAGATGGTCCGGTCTGTTGTGATTGGTCTACTCTGCTCTGATTGGTCAGATGGCACAGACTGATATGATTGGTCAAATGTTATACATTGTTATGTAGGTATGTAATAGGAAGTGAGACAGGAATTATTTCCGCAGTTCAAAATCGATTGTTGTTTTTTAGGGGACAATGGTTTAATTTGTCGTGCACTGTGCTCTTTAAAACTTTTCAGACCTTTTACTGTTGTCACCCTGGGTTATTGCAAGGAACACTGAAGACTAAAATTTAATCTTTTACTGTTATTTCATTATTAAATATTATGTATCTGTATTATTATTCTTTATTAGTTTTCATAATCAATGTATTATCTTATGGAGTTTCAAAAGCATGAGTTTGAATGCATGAGAGGATAACATACAGTATGTCAGGGGAAAGCTATATATTGCTTAGAGAGGTATATGTGCAATGTAACATGTTCACTCAGCATAAATGTTTCCACTGATGCAAGTGTATCACAGATGTAGACAACAAGGATAATCGCGTACATATGACATATACGTTCTAAGTTGAGAAGCTCAGAGCAACATGTTTGTTACCTTACAAGGAAGCTGTAAGACTGTGTGATGTATAAAAGCTCAATGTCATTGTATCGCCCTCAGAGAAACATGTAGGCATGACCGGGTGAGAGGGTAGAGAAACATGGAGAAACGCATAGACCTGGCATGAACACCACATTTTGAAGTTTCTCTCCTGACATATATATAATATATAATAAAACTTTCTTGGCAAGATAACTGGTGTCCGGTCCCGTAAATTGAATAATAACGGGGAAACACAAGAGGCTTTAATTCCAAGTCTACAACACATACGGCAAAGAAGATTAGAACAACAGGGAACAGACTTTAGTGATAAATCCACAAATGCTTAGCTTCAACATTTATGTAAACAAGATTGGAGAAGTAACTGGAGTATAAACATAAACACACACACACACACACACACACATATGCATATATATATATATATACACACACACAGGTCCTTCTCAAATTAGCATATTGTGATATATGTTCATTATTTTCCATAATGTAATGATAAAAATTAAACGTTCATATATTTTAGATTCATAGCACACCAACTGAAATATTTCAGGTCTTTTATTGTTTTAATACTGATGATTTTGGCATACAGCTCATAAAAACCCAAAATTCCTGTCTCAAAAAAATTAGCATATTTCATCCAACAAATAAAAGTAGTGTTTTTAATACAAAAAAAGTCAACCTTCAAATAATTATGTTCAGTTATGCACTCAATACTTGGTCGGGAATCCTTTTTGAGAAATGACTGCTTCAATGCGGCATGGCGGCAATCAGCCTGTGGCACTGCTGAGGTGTTATGAAGGCCCAGGATGCTTCGATAGTGGCCTTAAGCTCATCCAGAGTGGTGGGTCTTGCGTCTCTCAACTTTTTCTTCACAACATCCCACAGAATCTCTATGGGGTTCAGGTCAGAAGAGTTGGCAGGCCAATGACAGTAATACCATGGTCAGTAAACCATTTACCAGTGGTTTTGGCACTGTGAGCAGGTGCCAGGTTGTGCTGAAAAATGAAATCTTCATCTCCATAAAGCTTTGAAGCTTTCAGCAGATGGAAGCATGAAGTGACCCTGCCCTTGATAAAACACAGTGGACCAACACCAGCAGCTGACATGGTACCCCAGACCATCACTGACTGTGGGTACTTGACACTGGACTTCAGGCATTTTGGCATTTCCTTCTCCCCAGTCTTCCCCCAGACTCTGGCACCTTGATTTCCGAATGACATGCAACCACTGAGCAACAGCCCAGTGCTGCTTCTCTGTAGCCCAGGTCAGGCGCTTCTGCCACTGTTTCTGGTTCAAAAGTGGCTTGACCTAGGGAATATGGCACCTATAGCCCATTTCCTGCACATGCCTGTGCACGGTGGCTCTGGATGTTTCTACTCCAGACTCAGTCCACTGCTTCCGCAGGTCCCCCAAGGTCTGGAATCGGTCCTTCTCCACAATCTTCCTCAGGGTCCGGTCACCTCCTCTCGTTGTGCAGCGTTTTTTGCCACACTTTTTCCTTCCCACAGACTTCCCACTCAGGTGCTTTTATACAGCACTCTGGGAACAGCCTATTTGTTCAGAAATGTCTTTGTGTATTACCCTCTTGCTTGAGGGTGTCAATGACGGCCTTCTGGACAGCAGTCAGGTCGGCAATCGTACCCATTATTGCGGTTTTGAGTGATGAAACAGGCTGGGAGTTTTTAAAAGCCTCAGGAAACTTTTGCAGGTGTTTAGAGTTAATTAGTTGATTCAGTTGATTAGGTTAATAGCTCGTTTAGAGAACCTTTTCAGGATATGCTAATTTTTTCTGTATGCCAAAATTCTCAGTATTAAAACAATAAAAGACCTGAAATATTTCAGTTGGTGTGCTATGAATCTAAAATATATGAAAGTAAAATTTTTATCATTATGGAAAATAATCAACTTTATCACAATATGCAAATTGGAATATTGAGAAGGAATATATATATATATATATATATATATATATATATGTATATATATATATATATATATAAACAGTATATGTGTATATGAAGAGTTCAGATGCAAAAGCCTCTAAATGCCATTTGAAATTTTCTTCTAAAATGACCATTTTTATCAAGCTTGTATATTTAAGTTCAGTAATTTCACTTAAATGACAATTAATAGGTAATCTTCATTGCCATTTAAGTGAAATTACTGAACTTAAATATACAAGCTTGATAAAAATGGTCATTTTAGAAGAAAATTTCAAATGGCACTTAGAGGCTTTTGCATCTGAACTCTTCATATATAACACACACATTCACCCAAAATTTGGCATGGTAGTGTACTATATAGAAGCATTTAAAAAAAAATACAACACATTCAAAACAGGAAGCTTTTAGAAGTTATTTAGTCAAATAGAAACTCTTTGTGGTTCTTAGACTTTAAATTGTTAATCATACATGATATGTAACACTTTGTCATCTTAAACCTTGGTTATCTTGTTTCATGCCATACTGGTTAGAAATGCACAATACCTCTTCAAAATGCAGTAAATTTTTGGATTTCTGTAAGGAATTTCTGCTTTTTGAGTAGTTTTTGTTGTTGTTGTTGTTGTTTACTGCTCCTCTTTAGATTGTTTAGTTGCTCGTTGACTTATATTTGACCACTGCTGAAGAGCACTACTTGACACCCGAAGGACTGTTTCGAGAACTCTTCAGACGAATATTTAATTGTTGTTGCTGTGCTCAGCTGTAGTGATGTAGCGAACACTGACAGGTCTGTTAGCATCTCTAAAGTTCCTTCTCTCTCTGAATCCAGTGACTAAGGTGATCTGTGCGGAGCAGTGCTCGGGCAGGTGTAAGGGACTTGAACCTGTGGACTGCTGCAATGAACATTGTGCTGCTGGCTGCACTGGACCCGAACCAACCGACTGCCTGGTGAGAAACACACGTGTGCTGATGTGTTAGATTCATTTCCCAACCATTCTATGAGGCGCCACGTAGGATTTAAATCAAACTTCGCTTATCAATACATACATAACACGCGTGCATATACACCTATAAATTACTCGCATAAACATGTATACTATTGGATGTTCAAAATGCATATATGAAATACACGTGAACACTAATATGAAATCCATACATTTTATGTTAGTAATGAATGCATATAAACTTGTGAAACACTTGCATATACATATAAACTTCCATGCATATACACCTATAAACACTCGCACGTACATATAAACCCGATGTGCGCATACACATCCATAAGACACTTGCGCATACATACAAAATAAAACGTGGATGCATGCTTTATCTGTGTATATATGTATATATGAGTGATTTCATATGTAGATGTGGGTGTGTGTGAACTTCTCAGTGTAAAAGGAAGTCATTTTAGTGTGAAGTCATTTCCTAAAATACAAGAAACAAGTTATTTAGTGGCTGGAAACATGTGTTACAGTGAAACCTTCATTACCAATGAAGTGCACAGCTGCAGTAAATTTAATCTCAAGGGCAATGAAGTTGATTTGGGACTAGTGCGCTCATGGGAAATGCTGTTTGTGTTCTGCAGGCCTGTAAGGACTTCCAGGATGAAGGGACATGTAAGGACGCATGTCCACAGCTCATGCTCTACGACCCCAACACCCACCAGCTCGCTCCCAACCCCGACGGGAAGTACAGCTTTGGGGCAACGTGTGTCAAGACATGTCCACGTAAGACCAGGCTATAGTCAGAATGGGACACGAATCCTCACTTTTTTTCACTTGAACACACGACCAAATTCGAATTATATCTTTCATGTGAATTCAAAGCTGTTAGGTCTGCATTCTGGAGATTAATGTTTTAGGTGTTCAGGGTTAAAATATAAACAGCACTGTCCAGGTAAAGAGAATCACTCAGGTGCAGATTGTGAGCCTGCAACTCGAACTCTGGTTTCTGAATAACATCTCAGAAAGCAGGATAACTGTGACAGAATGATTCGACGCATTAGGATTGTGTTGCTGGTTGGTTGTGGATAATGACTCTGATGATTTTGATGTTTTTCTCAGATAACTATGCCGTGACAGACCATGGGGCATGTGTGAGAACCTGCAGCCCTGACACCTATGAGGTGGATGAGGGTGGAGTTCGGAAATGTAAGAAGTGTGATGGCCTGTGTCCAAAAGCTACGGTCGAGACTGATGGTCAGGATCTGTAACAAGATGATGTTTTTTTTTTAAGAGGAAAGATCGTCTGGGTTTTTTTTTTTTTTTGACAAACATGGGCAGTATTTCAATTAAATGTATTTTAAATACGTATAATTACTTTAGTGTATTTTGTATTTTCCAGGTGTTGAAAAAATAAAATATAGCTTGTAACAAAATATTTTGAGGGAGTGTGTTTAGAGTATTTTAAATAATCCCCAAAAATCACCACAGTAACGTCTTGAGGCAGGATCATGACAGACCCATGTTTTGTGTGCAAGCACATGGCCTTTTTGTTTGGGCCGTGTTGTCTCGTTGCGTACCCTACCCCCTTGTTATCCTCGTCTTGTCATTAGTGTCTCCCTATATCATCCCCTTGTGTTTGCTGTCCTCTGTCGGTTCATTGTAATTCTTACCTGCATGTTACCTTACCTTGTTAAGCCTTGTGAGTATCCTGTCAAGAGTATTATCTAGAAAGAGTTCTGATTCTATATTCGCTGTTTATCATCTAGTCTTTTGTCAAGTCATAGTCTAGTTCTGTCACTCCTCACCCTGTCCATGTTTTGCACCCTAGTGGGTTTTGTTTTACCTGTTTTTGTCCATTAATAAACTGTATGTTAAGCATCCTGTCTGCGCTTGGGTTCATCTACAAAATCATAACAAGTAAATTATTTTGCTATAGTTCGGTCTGATGTTGGCAATGTCCAGGTTAGATGCACAAAAATCAGCTGGTCACACCCTGTAGACCGGGCTCCCTCAAAGAAGTGAATGAGTTTTGAACATAGGAGAAGTGGCGCTGCTCCTCTTAAAAACGGCATTAAAGGGGCTATCAGGCCCCAAAAAAAGGCTGAAACATAAATTATCACATTCATTAAAGGGGTGATGACCTCTTAGATGTCAAAAGCTCAAGGAAATTTTGATTTCTCAGTTCATCATATTCTAAGAATATCCTGTAAGTTTCAGAACTGAAAACGTCCTTGTTAGTCCAATAAAAGCTTTTATTGACACCAGCCCCATTTTTCAAAGTGGGGAACTATGACGTCAAAGAGGATACACGGCCGGTTTAGCCCTGTCCACATAGATTAAATAACATAGATTCCTACCTCGTGATGACAAACCGGATCGAGCTACCGAGCAATACAAAATATTGTGCAGTGCCTGGCTGTGGAAGAAGACAGTGGCTGCATATGCTTCCTCTGGATTCCAATTGGACTGCATGGATAAACTTTGTTTTTAATGACGTTCCAGCTGATGAGGTACAACATTGTCCGTCTGTTCACTTAATTTCACTGAGGATTGTTTTGTAAACAGGACTGCATTTGCAGACCGATAAAGAGTAAAGAATGATGCTGTGCTGTCTATATTGGATCTGACAGGAATCGTGCAACACACGGACTCTGGGTCGAATCATTCCGCTTGCCATTTTACAACATTGGATGTTTTCAAAACAATTTCCCCCAAGTGCATCGACGGGTGAGTTGAAACTCATTATAATATGCAAAACGTCTCGGTTACGTATGTAACCCTTGTTCTCTGAGTACAGGGAACGGAGACGTGTCGTCGGGGTCAATTCCCTGACGAATTGGGATCACGCTAGGGAGCCTTATAGAATTAACAACGAGCCAATAACCATCGGCATGCAATCTTTGCATTCTGCGAGCCGCCTACAAGCGCGGATATAAAAGCGTAAGTAAACGATGCATAGACGCTTCTATGCAATGTTTGATTGGTACAACACCATGGCCAATGAAGGTACAACAACATGGCGAAGGGACGACACGTCTCCATTCCCTGTACTCAGGGAACGAGGGTTACCTACGTAACCGAGACGTTCCATTTCGTCCTGGGAACTCCAACGTGTTGTCGGGGAGTTCTCTGACAAATTGGGATCCCTAATAAAACGCCATGGTGCTGGCCCCTTCCAGCACCCAACGACACTACCCACGCAGTTTCAGAAATAACGGTAGCTAGCTAGGGAGTCACACTGCTGTTCCGCAAGACCCAATCAGAGGACATTGAATAACACTGGGAAAGCGTGCCCAACCCGAAGAAGGGTAAGGGAACGCTGCGGAAGCCAACCGCCTGAAGAAGGCCTGGAATACACATATATACTAGCCTGGGGGGATAGTAAAACATATGGCAGTCCCTGAGGTAGTCCCAATCCAAGGGGAAATGGGAGCGCACACAACAGGGACGACAGAACGAGTCTGTCAAGGGAAGACACGGCTAGACTGCACGTGGCATAATAGGTCACCGAAGAGACCACTGGACATAACAATCAGTCTACACAACTCCCTAGAGGTAGTAGAGCTGGCGCCTGGCGGTCCGCCACGTCAGGCACCGGAGGGGTGATGGAGGAACTCCCGGGGCTACCCGACGTAGGGCGCCAACGGAGCAGAAGACGCACTTATCCGGCTGAGGCACGGAGTGGCGTAGCAAGCCAACACAACCTATTCCCTCGCACCACTTGCCGTAGCGAGGTACTCGGGAGGAAACAGGTTCCACACGTAGGCTATAGAATCTAGCGAACGTGTTTGAGCCAAAGCCCAGGAGGCGGCAACACCTCTCGTGGAGTGAGCACGCAACCTGGGAGGACAAGGCTCACCCGTAGCTTCATCTGCTCGAGTGATAGCATCCACTAACCAGTGGGCTAACCTCTGCTTGGAGACAGCCCTTCCCTTCTGCTGGCCTCCGTAACAGACAAAGAGCTGGTCTGAGTAAACCCGCAGGGCGCTGACTGGACAGAGAAAAGCTAGGGCTGGGTCTGCCTCCTCCTGGGGCAGTGCTTGCAGGTTCATTACCTGGTCTGCGAAGGGAGTGGTAGGAATCTTGGGCACATATCCGGTGCGGGGTTTCAATATAACACGAGAAAGGCCCGGCCCGAACTCTAGGCACGATTCATCGATCGAAAAAGCCTGCAGATCCCCGACCCTCTTGAAAGAGGCCAATGTTAACAGGAGCGCTGTGTTAATGGACAGGATATTCAGCTCTACTGTCAGCAAAGGCTCAAAGGGAGTACTTTTCTTTCCTAGGATGGTAGCTCTCAGTACCAGAGCTAGGTCCCAAGAGGGTACAGAGTGCAAAGCACGAGGTGGATTTAACCTCATAGCACGCTTGAGGATGACCAGGTCGTGCTTCCCTATGGACTTACCTTCTACTACATCGTGATGCGCAGCTATTGCTGCAACATACACCTTTAGGGTGGAAAGGGACAGCCTACACTCCAACCCATCTTGTAGGAAAGAAAGCACGACTCTGATCGGGCAAGTTCGGGGGTCCTCCTGTCAGGAGGAACACCACTCGACGAACAGGTTCCACTTCAAAGCGTAGAGGCACCTCGTAGAGGCAGATCACCTAGAACCTCCGCATCCCGTCCAGGGACCAGACAGAGTTTCCAGAGATCTGGACGCGGGTGCCATAGAGTGCCCCGTCTCTGAGAAAGAAGGTCCTTCATCAGAGGATTTGGCCAAGGAGGGGCTGTCGCGAGGAGCATGAGTTCTGTGAACCAAGTCCTGGTGGGCCAATACGGCACCACTAACATGACCTGCTCCTCCCTGACCTTGCACAATGTCTGTGCAAGAAGGCTCCCTGGGAGAAACGCATACTTGCGCAGGTCCCGGCGCCAGCTGTGGGCCAGGGCGTTTGTGCCAAAGGTCCCCTCGGACAGGGAGTAAAACCACTGGCAGTGGGTCGTGTCTGGAGAAACAAACAGGTCTACCTGTGCGACTCCGAAAACACTCCAGATCAGCTGAACCACCTGGGGGTGGAGTCGCCATTCTCCTGGCAGGGGAGGCAACAGAGAAAGCTCGTCTGCCACACGGTTGAGCTCCCCTGGAACATGAGTGGCACGAAGCGACCTAGATGCTTCTGACTCCACAGGAGGAGGTGGGAGGCGAGTCGCGACATGCGGCGGGAGCGTAGACCACCTTGGCGGTTGATATACGCAACGGTCGCAGTGCTCTCCGTACGGACCAGCACGTGCTTGTCTTTGAGAAACCACCTGAGGTGGCACAAAGCCAAGCATACTGCTTGCAACTCCAGGCAGTTGATATGCCAATGCAGCTGGGGCCCCGTCCACAGACCCGACACTGCATGTCCTTTGTACGTGGCCCCCCACCACATGGCAGAGGCATCCGTGAAAACCACCGCATGCCTGGAAACCTGGACTAAGGGCACTCCGGCCCGAAGAAACGCAGGATCCGACCATGGGGAGAAGGTTTGGCGACAGTGCGGGGTTAGTTTGACCCTGAACATGCCGCTCTGCCACGCCCACCTCGGGACTCAATCGTGAAGCCAGTGCTGGAGCGGTCTCATATGTAACAGGCCGAGCGGAGTTACTGCGGCTGCGGCTAACATATGCCCCAGGAGCGTCTGAAATAGTTTCAGTGGAACCGCTGTCCTGCCTCGAAAGGACCTGAGGCAGGTGAGCACTGACTGGACACGTTCCTCCGTAAGGCGCGCCGTCTGGGCGACCGAGTCCAACTCCATACCGAGATAAGAGGTCCTCTGCACGGGGCAAAGTTTGCTCTTGTGCCAGTTGACCTGAAGCCCCAACCGGCTGAGGTGCTGTAGCACCATGTCCGTGTGATCGCACAACACCTCTCGCGAGTGAGCCAATCGTCGAGATAGTTGAGGATGCGCACGCCTTGTTCTCTCATGGGAACAGTGGCCGCGTCCACGACTTTCGTGAAGACACGGGGTGACCGGGCCAGCCCGAAGGGTAGGAGTTTGTACTGATACGCTCGACCCTCGAACGCAAACCGTAGAAACGGTCTGTGTCGAGGAAGAATCGAGACGTGAAAGTACGCGTCCTTCAGGTCGATCGCTGCAAACCAATCTGGGGGATGGATGCACTCGAAAATGCGCTTCTGCGTGAGCATCTTGAACGGGAGTTTGTGCAGGGCACGATTCAAAACTCGCAGGTCCAGGATTGGCCGTAACCCACCACCCGGATCTCATTTCGGCAGGGGGGACCGGCTCGATCGCGTCCTTCGCCAGCAGGACATCGATCTCTTTCCGCAGGACAGGGGCGTCCACTGACCGCACACGGGTGAAGTGAATGCCCCTGAACCTGGGAGGCCGGCTTGCAAACTGAATTGCATAGCTGAACCGAATGGTGCGGATGAGCCATCGGGACGGACCTGGAAGCGCTAGCCAGGCTTCCAGGTACGACCCAACGAGCCCACCCGAAAAACCGGCGTTCCCGCGGAGGGGCAGCGAGGTGAAAGGCAGGGACTCGGCCACAGTGGCAAGGGTCTGGGCGTGAAGTACGCCAGGAACCTGCTTCCACCGGGGGGCAGATGAGAGAGAGAGCCCATGAGCTTTCTGCTGCGAGCTGCCCCGTGGCGAGGGGAGGGGAAGAGACGCAGCACGAGGCCCTGCCTCCTCGTGAGCTGGTCTCCGCCCCTCCGAATCCAGTCACTGACCGGAGCGACGCAACCGAGGAAGCGTCACTGCTATCTGAGAAGAGGGGAATGAGAGCGATGCTGCTCGGACACAGCATCCACTGCCATTCGGACCCTCTTGTGTGGAGGAGACTGTGTGCCCGTCAGTCTTGACCGAAGATGATCTGGAGGAGGAAAAGGAAACTGCTCTTTTATTGAAACTTTGGGTACGCGGTCAGTGGCGGAACAGAAACAAAAATGAACAAAAAATTCTCCGCCCGGCCCTCCCCCGGGGGAAGGAGGTGTGCAGAGGCACCCTCCTGAGCAGTCTCTCGTCGCTCCACCAGGTCGCCCGTCTCAGGAATGCTTCCCTCCCCTCCTTTTACGGGAGGGGGCCGAGGGCACCTGAGTGGGTTGGGCCGCTCTCTTGCGACCAGACTTTCTCGCTCCAGGGTTGGTGGTCTGCGCTGGAGGAGGAGCTGGCGCCAAGGAGCGACCCCGGCGACGGGAAGCAGCTGGGGCTTGTACAGCCATAGGGGAAGGACTCGCAGCAGTCCGCCTCCTGTGCAGGATATACCATATAGCATCCGACTGCTTCTGGGCGGTGGAGAACTCCTGGGCCAAGTTCTCCACCATGTCGCTGAAGAGGCCGCCCTGGGATACGGGGAAGTTGAGAAGTTTGTTCTTCACCGCTTCCCTCATATCTGCCAGGGTCAGGGTTAACCGTGAAGGTTCGGAGCCCGGTGGAGGGTTCCACCCAAGCCCGGCATTCGCGGCCGCCCGTTCAGGCATAGCAGCCATTTCCAGGTCACACCCGAAGGGCGCAGTGCCGCAGAGTCTTCGCCAGAAGACTGCTCTTCCTCCGATGCCGCGATCGACATCTGATCCTCAGGTGGCGCACCGAAAGAGACAACCGGAACCGCCCGAGGGGGATCCGGCCGCTCCACCGGAAGCGCTGATGGCCCAGAAACGCACAGGCAAGCTCGTTTTCTTCGAAACAGCAGGTAAGCTCTGAGAGGCTCCGAAGCAAAAAGCGTCTATGCAATTTTTACTTCAGCTTTTATATCCGCGCTTGTAGGCGGCTCGCGGAATGCAAAGATTTCATGCCAATGGTTATTGGCTCGTTGTTAATTCTATCAGAGGTAATAAGGCTCCCTAGCGTGATCCCAATTCGTCAGGGAACTCCCCGACGACACGTTGAAGTACAGTACAGTAATGAAAGTGTACTCAATTTGCAAGTTTATATATATATATATATATATATATATATGAAGAGTTCAGATGCAAAAGCCTCTAAGTGCCATTTGAAATTTTCTTCTAGAATGATAATTTTGATCAAGCTTGTATATTTAAGTTCATTAATTTCACTTAAATGGCAATTAATAGGTAATCTTCCATGCAATTAAAGTGAAATTACTGAACTTAAATATACAAGCTTGATAAAAATTATCAGTGTAGAAGAAAATTTCAAATGGCACTTAGAAGAAGAAGTTTTATTTATATAGTGCCTTTCCAAAGCTCAAGGTCGCTTTACATGGTACATAAATAATACATTTAAACACTGACACACAGCTTATAGTCACAGAGGATACAAATAATCACATTTAAACGAAGTACATGTTGAATAGATATGTTTTTAGCTGTGTCTTGAAAGCAGTCATTGATGAAATATTTCGAAGTGAAAGGGGCAGTGAATTCCATAATGTTGGCGCATTTACACTAAATGACCTTCCACCTACTGTAGCGGGGGATGGACAATAAACCAATGGCGCTTTTCCACTGCATAGTACGGTACGGTTCGGCGCAGTACGCTTCGACTTGGAGCGGAACAGTTCGGTTCGCTTTTCGTTTCCACTGCAGTAGTACCCCTTCAAAGTGTGTGGGACTGATCGTTATTTGTGCGCGCCTCTACTGCCATGACATCATCTTAAAAGCGCCACATTTTCAAACCCACAACACAGGAACAATGGAGACTATCGAGGGGATGGTGTTCCTGATTCTCGGTATGTGGTTGTTTTTAACTGCTAGACGGAAAAATGTGTTTAAAATGAGGCTGATGGCAGCAAAACAAAAATACTGCTAAAAAAGTGTCTCGTGTCTCGTGTCGCAAATCCAATGACGCTAGTAGTGACGCTAGTAGTGACGATTCTGTCTGACCAATCAGTGATCTGCGGTGTTTCACGTCACATTTTTGTACCGGTACGGTACGCTTGGAACCTCAACAGATCAGGTACCATTTAAAGCGTCCTGAAGCGAACCGTGCTGTACCGTACCATGCAGTGGAAAAGCACCACAAGTGAGCCGTACCGAACCGAACCGTATCGTACTATGCAGTGGAAAAGTGCCTCAAGTTCAGTTGATCTGAGAGAGCGTACAGGATGGTAGGTGACAAGTAGATCAGACAAATATGGGGGTGCAAGACCGTCTAATGCCGGAGTAATGAGTTAGAGGCTTTTGCATCGGAACTCTTCATATATATATATATATATATTTATATATATATATGTTTTTGAAGTCCACTAAAAAGTGGAATTCAAACATATATATATAAGTACTTGCAAATTGAGTACACTTTCATTATTGTACTATACTGTACACTGAAAGTGTTAGTGTGAAAGAGTACACTTTCATTACTGGTTCTTCACACTTAAGTACAATTGGTTTATGAATGTTTGCATGCATGGATGGATGGATGGATGGATGGTCGGTCTAGCTTTCCTTTTGTTGGTCTATTATTGAGAGAAATAGGACAAGAAATGTTGGGAGTAAGAGGGGAATATCTGAAAAACTATTTAAACTTTGTGTATTTGAACTTTTGGTGTTAAGTGATTATTTGGTTATTTCAATGATGATTTAAACTGAACACGTTTTGTATACAGTATATAGTGGGTCACGTGAATATGAGGTCAACAAAACGTGTGGCTTGTGACCCTGAATGTCTGCTCATGAATGCAACCCTGACCTGCACCGGCCCTGTAAGTATCAAACCAAACCTACAGCACCGCATGTTCTGCTACAGTAGAGCCAGTAAACAGTGTGTATCCTTATATTTGAAATAGCTGATGGCAGCACACCAGTCGCTCAAACCAATGTTTTCTGGCCCAGTAGTGTCATGGAGACACATCATTAAATTCACATCACTAGAAGACTGTGGAAAAGTTGCTTGTTGCCTTTCCAACTTTTGTCCAACAAGGGACCCGACAAATGTACAGCGTGTGCTAACTACAAAGATGGGCCGCACTGTGTACCACGCTGCCCGCAAGGCGTACCGGGAGAGAAAGACATACTCATTTGGAAATATGCTGACGAGATCCATGTGTGCCAGTCCTGTCATGAGAACTGCACCCAGGGGTGAGAGAGGCTTCATATGCGATGCTTTTATTTGAATGTAATGAAATGAAACGATCATTCGTGTAATTCAACCAGGTTCATTAGGGACCGCAACATGGACTAGTTCTAGATATTCCAGAAATGTCATGTAAATGTAGTGGGACCTCTCTCTTCGGAGGTAGAGCAACTATACAAATGCCACCACCGGCTGAAACGTGACTACGCCACCCTGTTTACCAGGGAAATATTAACACTATAGGTTTACTGTCTCACACCCGGAGACACGCAGGAACGTGATTGTCAAAAGGAGGGTCAGAGACGTGGATACAAAATATGCAAAAGTTTTATTTAAATATTCACACCATTAAAAACATCAAGAAAGAAATAGGTCATCAGCATTCCCCACAAAAGAAACACAATAGCTAAAAAGGGAACCGAGGCTTAATGGCAGACACCTCTCCGGGCGCACCAGGCTTCTATATAACTCTCAACACCCTGTGTACCACAGCAATGCACACACATCGAAATCCAGTCCAGCACAGCACTCTGTGACGAGCCCACCACCACACGTAAGGGTCTGATAGAGGACTGCCCTAAAGCCTCGGCTCCTGCAATGAGAATGAGAATTACCACCAGTCTCAATACTCACAAAACACTTACACCAAGTATACATACACAATTACATAAAAATAACAAAAAAATAAAAGTCAAGGTTTGCCGTCTGCGCTGTGTTCCTATTAACTCACTGGCTTGCTACCAGCACATTAGAAGGACAACAGACCTCAACAGATATTTGCAAAACACCACCAAGCACAATAACAAAAAATAGAAAATACTCAAAAGAAAATGAAGGCAGTAAACAAACAACGATTTGAAAAAAACTAATGAAACCTCCAGCCGTACGGTGACTCGGGCTGGAGGCAGGTGACACACAAAATACTTAAACTCGGCACACACGTGTTGAAGGAGTTGTTATAAAAATCTGGAGGTAAGCAGCAGCGTCAACCAGCGTTTCCCACCAGGTCTTATTAATCCTAAAATACAAACAAACATATTTGCGATACAATACAGGATTGGCGCTACACAAAAATGGACGTGTCACATACCTTTTGTTCATAAGCCGACGCCCACCTACACCACGCCGGACATCATCATCCACAAAGCACGGGAATGCGAGAGGGACATGCACAGGGAGCGCGGCCGCCGCCCGCAGCCCACACGACGAGCTATTCCCACCACTAAACCCCGCACAGTTATTATTAAAACACATCGCAATCAAGGTGTCGACTAATTAGCCAACACACACATACATTACCTCAAGTATCGGAGAGACGGGACTGCCAAAGAGACAGCAAGAGAGGCATGCAACCGGAAAGCTGGGGCCGCCAACAGCCGCGAATTATCCTGAAGCTATAAACGACACAATCCGTTATCCCAAATCCTGCACCTGTGTTCACTAAACGAGACAGGTAGCACATACCTCAAAGCGGAAACAACACCGAAAGCTGGAAGGGGCGGTCCCCGAGCAATGACGCAACTCAGACGGCACACGCACACAAGGGTGAACAGTTCCTTTTTATATTGTGCCTCCTCCTGGTAATTGGCCCTCACTACCCCCAGCGCATCAATTTAATTATAGAGCCACAGAGCCCCACTAAGTCCACTACAATCTACCCCCCCAACCTCGGATCGTCGCCCCGACGGTCCCAGTCAACTCTACTTAATCCCATGGCCTAAAAATGCGTGTTATACCTTGCATTTGCTGAAGGGAGACCCCGCCCATCTCTCCCACCGGGCGGGGAAGATGATGTCGATTTGGATGTAGGCCTGCAGTTAAACGGCTTGTTCGGCGCAAGACAACCCCATCAGCCCTAGGCAGGCCCTCAGGCTGGGGTCCCCGGGTACTGGCCCTACTTCTTTCTGGATCCAGTTGTCCTGGCTCTATCATAAGAACTGGTTCTGTAGGTTCCATCCCCCCCTGTGGGCCCGGTTCCGCTTCAGGTGCCAGCCCTCTCAGTTGTAGTTCAACTGCGAATCGGTCAGGCTCCTGTACCACAGCCAGCAGATCCCCCTCATCCTCGTATTCACCTACTGGGTGTGTGTCCCCAACTGGGTCACAGAAGGGACTACTGCAGTCTGCGGCCTCAGTATCTTTACAGACTCGACTCTTTACCAGTGAACGGTGCACGTTCCTAGTCTTGGTAAGGTCGTCCACAGGCGCAATTGTGTACACGACACCACCCTCCTTCGGTGCCCTCGGACATGTTGATCGTGATGGGCCTTGCGTCTGTCGGCCATCACCTGCAACCGTTCGCGTGCTCCTGCAAAGGCCACCTGTAGTCTGGTTTGGTGTTCCAAAACCCAATCATGCACACTACCCTCAATAGGCTGTGGCTCTCTTCCCAACAGAAAATCCACGGGCAATCGCGGCTCCTGCCCGAACATCAGGAAGTGAGGTGATTCCCCTGTGGACTGATGGGGGGTGCTATTATAGCTGAACACTACCTGGGGAAGACACGCTACCCAGTCACGTTTCCTGGACACTGGCAGTGTGCGCAACAGATTGTGTAATGTGCGATTAAAGCGCTCACACTGGCCGTTGCCAGCCGGGTGATATGGGGTCGTACGAGACTTCTCCACACCATAGAGGTTACATAGTTGACGGATTAACAAGGACTCAAAATTTCGACCCTGGTCAGAATGGACGCGGCCCGGAACGCCAAACCTATAAAACCATTCCGTCACCAGTACTTGAGCCACTGTCTCGGCTCGCTGATCCCTTGTTGGAACAGCCAGGGTATATTTACTAAACACGTCAGTCATTACTAAGACGCTATCAATGCCAGAGTGCGTAGGCTCCAGAACGGTAAAGTCCACAGCGAGGATGTCGTTTGGCCTAGACGACATTAACCTCCCCATAAATCCCTGGGCGAGTGGCTGGGTGTCCTTGGCTGACTGGCACCGCTCGCACTCCTGACACCAGCTTGCCACCTCAGAGGACAATCCCGGCCAATAGCACCGCTGTCTCACTAGCTCCAGTGTGCGCTCTCTGCCCTGATGACCATGTTGCTGATGCAACTGTCGCAAAACCTCGGGCTTCAAGACCGCAGGCAATACCAATTGCAACATCTCTTCCTTACCCTCGGGGCAGTAAACTCTTCGATAAAGCATACCGTCCCGCTCAACCAGACGGTCCCACTGACGGAGCAACGTTAGGGCTGCCTTAGTCAGCCGGTGTCGTTCCTCATGGCTCGGGCGAGTACCACGTCTCCAGAATCGCAACACTTCCCGGATAACAGAGTCGGCTTCTTGCAGTGAACCCAACTCACCAACTGAGTAGCCGGGAAGCGTAGAGATCACGCATTGGGTCAGTACTCCAGCTGAGTCCAACCCGACCATTGGCCGCAATGACTCAGGAATTGCAGAGCCGGGGACCAGCCTGTCTAAAACCCCAGGATCCACGGGGTCCCGCCGTGAAAGTGCATCTGCGTTTCTGTTACTCTTACCCGAACGGTACTTGATGTCAAAATCAAAGGCCGCCAATTGAGAAGCCCAACGCTGCTCCGTTGCTCCAAGTTTTGCGGAGGCCAGGTGGCTAAGGGGGTTGTTATCTGTAAATACCACAACCTTACTACCCAACAAGTACTCGCGGAATTTCTCTGTCATGGCCCACTTGAGCGCAACAAACTCCAGCTTCATAGAGCTATAATTGGACATGTTGCGCTCCGTGGGCCGTAGACTACGGCTGGCATATGCCACTGGTCTTACCTTACCTTCATATTCCTGGGAGAGGACTGCCCCCAACCCCTGATAGCTGGCATCCACCTCCAAGATGAAGGGTTTAGAAAAATCCGCATACGCAAGAACAGGAGCGGTAGTAAGCTTCTCCTTCAACTCCTCAAAGCTCACCTGACATCTTTCACTCCAGGCCTCCTCAAAGTTCCTTCCTGTCTGTTTACCCTTTACACCAGCAAACTCCCCTACCAGCTTATGCAGAGGGGCAGCCACCTTGGCAAACTCCGCTACAAACCGCCGGTAGTAGCTGGAGAACCCCAGAAAGGACCGTAACTCTGTGACACTAGATGGACGAGGCCACTGGGCCACAGCCTCTATCTTACTTGGGTCGGTGGCTACTCCCTTGGAAGAAATGACATGACCCAAATATCTCACCTCCCGCTGGAGAAAAGCGCACTTATCCAACCGAGCCTTTAAGCCTTCCCGCTCCAGCCGGTCCAAAACTAGCCCCAACCTCTCCAAATGTTGAGCAATAGAGGTGGAAAACACCACAATATCGTCTAGATATAAAAGTAACGATTGGCACTGTTGGTCCCCGAATATCCTCTCCATAAGTCGCTGGAAGGTAGAGGGGGCATTGCACAACCCGAACGGCATGCGGTTCCATTCGAACAACCCAAAAGGTGTGCAAAAAGCGGTCTTGGGCTTGTCCCCCTCTGTGACCGGGACCTGGTTGTACCCACTAGCTAGATCCATGGTAGAGAACCAACAGGCCCCCGTCAACGCATCCAGCGACTCCTCAATACGGGGTAAGGGAAATGCGTCTCGTCTAGTCTTGGCGTTTAACTGACGGTAGTCCACGCACAGGCGAAGACTACCGTCTTTCTTTTTAACCAACACAATTGGCGAGGCATAAGGGCTGCAACTCTCCCTGATTACCTGAGACTCCAACAGCTGGTTAATGTGGGCTCTAACCACCTCATACTCAGAAGGGGGGACACGGCGATGTCGCTGCCGAACGGGAATGTCATCCAGCACTGGGATATCGTGTGAGATGAGACTGGTGCACCCCAAATCGCCATCATGTTCCGAAAACACCGTCTGATACCTACTAAGCAAAGCTCTTACCTTTTCTTGTTCTACCTCTGGCAATGCAGATAAGTTCAGCGCGGCAATCTGCTCCGGAACAGTAGAACTGGCTACCTGAGTACCCTGGGAATAGGCACTAGCGGTACAAGGTCTGACTTCCGTAATACCCATGGGTAAACTAACAACATGCACCCTAACGAGGGTACCCAGTACTCGACGGCGAAAAAGCAGGACATCGGAATTGCCCATATTAACCACTGGCACATACACTGAACCTCCAATCACTCGCACCAAAGCGGGGGAGGCTAACAACCCCTCTGGTAACCCTGACTCAGAGGGCTCAAACAGCATTGTACTACCTGCCAGCTGTTCTGCACAAGTCGCTGCAACAAACTTAATGGTACCGCCTGAGACGCGACATACCCGAGGACCGCGCACCCTCACCTTAGTCATATCAACCGATGACTGCTCCCTACCTTGATGGCAGTGTTGCAGAGCCTGGAAAACTGACGGGGGCGCGCAAGAAACTGGGGAAAAATTAAACAAAGCAGGGCCATGGTGTCCAAAGAGCTCCCGGTAGCATCGCCCGAGAACGTTCATCCCCAACACACCAGGGACTCGAGAGCGCAGGCCACCAGGAGGATCCCTGACCACCAGCACCCCGCAACGTGTCACCATCCTACCACAGAGCTCGATGTCCAACTCCATATAACCAATATATGGGATGGAAAGACCGTTGGCGGCCCTCAGTTGTAACCATGAACATGACCTCAATTGCTCTTGACCCCGCGACTCAAAATACTGAATGAAACAACTTTCCGTAATAGTTGACACCATCGAACCTGTATCGATTAAACAAGGGATTAACACACCACCAATTAAAACATCCAAATGGGGACAGGGGGACATTAAATTTGGACTAGAATTAAACTTGTTACCGTCGGAGTCTGCCTTTTCCCCAACCGAGCTGTGACTCTTCAGCACGGCGGGAATTAGTTTTCCGACGCAGCAGACCGCGACTGCCTCCCTTCCCCACCTGCTGCATCAACGTGAGGACGCAAAGGCGACTGGGACATGACGCGTTCCCCCCCACATTCCCGTGCAAAGTGGCCTGGTTTTTGACACCGCCTACATATAACGGGCCCACCCCGAAAAGGCTGGGTGCGGGAATGGGGGCCCTGTAACCGGGCAAAACTCTGTGTGAGCTGATTTAACTGCTCCTGTTGTAATTTTAGCATTTCTCTCAACTCTTGCATTTCAGATTTTTTAGGCAGACTACCATCCCCGTGTACTTCGAACTGAAAGCCATGTGCCGCCGGGACGGAAAGACTTCGACCCCTTGCCCCACCCGGCATTCCCTCCCTCTCCCATCGGATTGCTTCGCTCCGCACCTCTAAGAGGGTGGAATTGGGCTGGCGACGGACGAACTGTTTTAGTTCACGGCGAAGGGAAACGTCACAAACATATTCTACAAATTGATCCCTCAATAAAACCTCTGCATTTAACATGGTGGTAGGGGATTTCTGTTTAACTTTCTCTAGGAGCCCCATCAGGGCCAGGGAAAATTCTAGCAAAGTCTCCCCATCCCGCTGTCTCCTAGAGAAAAAGGCCTCCTGTAGGGCAACATGCGACTGGGAGCAACCATACAGCTCTTGTAAAATTAAATAAATTTTCTCTGGATCTCCGCGCTCAGCCGCAGGGCGATGCCGAATTTCCTCACGTGCCTCTCCTGTTAAGTGATCAAATAGAAAAAACGCTTGATCAGCCACAGACAGATGACGTGTTCTTATACAGGCTTTCGCCTCCTCTATCCAATCATTTATGCCAATACCCGGCCTACCGTCAAATATTGGACATTTTCGATCCCTTGGGATAAACACGAGCCGCTCAGTTAATGAAGCACCACCACTCGCTGATTGATCAGCAGGGGGTACAGACGACTCTCTAGAGGGACCGGCCATTGGACTCAAAGGAGCAGCTCGGCTCTGGTCTTGACGCAATTTCTCATTTTCGGCCCTCAGCTGAGCAACAAGATCCCTCAATTCCCGCATTTCCTCCTCCATTTTTATTTATTTTTTTTAAACTTACCAGAGCAACCTCTGTAAGCAAGTAGCACCAATACGGAATGCTCCCGATCTCCTGAGATGACGCTGCTGCTTTGTCACCAACACTATACTTGAAAATACAAAAAAAAAAAAGAAAAAAGAAAGAAAGAAACAAACAAACAAACAAAAAACACTAATGCATTCATAAAATATACACAGTCAACAATTACCCAGATAACAATCAGTATCCACGTCTCAGCCCAAAAAAATTCTACAATCCTTCCGACTACGCCAGAATGTAGTGGGACCTCTCTCTTCGGAGGTAGAGCAACTATACAAATGCCACCACCGGCTGAAACGTGACTACGCCACCCTGTTTACCAGGGAAATATTAACACTATAGGTTTACTGTCTCACACCCGGAGACACGCAGGAACGTGATTGTCAAAAGGAGGGTCAGAGACGTGGATACAAAATATGCAAAAGTTTTATTTAAATATTCACACCATTAAAAACATCAAGAAAGAAATAGGTCATCAGCATTCCCCACAAAAGAAACACAATAGCTAAAAAGGGAACCGAGGCTTAATGGCAGACACCTCTCCGGGCGCACCAGGCTTCTATATAACTCTCAACACCCTGTGTACCACAGCAATGCACACACATCGAAATCCAGTCCAGCACAGCACTCTGTGACGAGCCCACCACCACACGTAAGGGTCTGATAGAGGACTGCCCTAAAGCCTCGGCTCCTGCAATGAGAATGAGAATTACCACCAGTCTCAATACTCACAAAACACTTACAACAAGTATACATACACAATTACATAAAAATAACAAAAAAATAAAAGTCAAGGTTTGCCGTCTGCGCTGTGTTCCTATTAACTCACTGGCTTGCTACCAGCACATTAGAAGGACAACAGACCTCAACAGATATTTGCAAAACACCACCAAGCACAATAACAAAAAATAGAAAATACTCAAAAGAAAATGAAGGCAGTAAACAAACAACGATTTGAAAAAAACTAATGAAACCTCCAGCCGTACGGTGACTCGGGCTGGAGGCAGGTGACACACAAAATACTTAAACTCGGCACACACGTGTTGAAGGAGTTGTTATAAAAATCTGGAGGTAAGCAGCAGCGTCAACGAGCTATTCCCACCACTAAACCCTGCACAGTTATTATTAAAACACATCGCAATCAAGGTGTCGACTAATTAGCCAACACACACATACATTACCTCAAGTATCGGAGAGACGGGACTGCCAAAGAGACAGCAAGAGAGGCATGCAACCGGAAAGCTGGGGCCGCCAACAGCCGCGAATTATCCTGAAGCTATAAACGACACAATCCGTTATCCCAAATCCTGCACCTGTGTTCACTAGACGAGACAGGTAGCACATACCTCAAAGCGGAAACAACACCGAAAGCTGGAAGGGGCGGTCCCCGAGCAATGACGCAACTCAGACGGCACACGCACACAAGGGTGAACAGTTCCTTTTTATATTGTGCCTCCTCCTAGTAATTGGCCCTCACTACCCCCAGCGCATCAATTTAATTATAGAGCCACAGAGCCCCACTAAGTCCACTACATAAACAACAGCGTTCATTTCGATGGTCCACTTTGGACATTCTACTAACTATAAGTAACGTTGCAACTAAATGCAAAAGAACTTAAGGCTGGCCCACACTAAATGTCATATCATACACCCGTCGCAATATAGTGGCAGGAGCGATACAAGTTTAGCAACTTTAAATAGCAAATCCATTTGCACCCACTGTCTGCTGGTCTGAAAACGTGGTGTGTTTATGTGCGTTGCTATTTTGAGGCAACTGAAATAGAGGCCATTGACCAACTGAAACCTGGTCTAAAGTCAATGGCGCAATATTTTTTTGTTATTTAAAGAGCGCGTTAGTAATGTGCGCCTATACTGTAGGGGGGTGCCCAACGGGTGTGTACACTTTGTCCCGTAAAGTGCCACCGCGCAACCCGGGACATTTTGATAGACATTTTGCATTCTTCTTTCGTGTAGGCGAATCGGGTTAGTAATTTACTTCGACAGTCTTGAAATATCTATATAAAGAGATGCATACCTGCGTCTGTTTTTCAGCGCCTCTCTCTCCGGTTATGACTTGCTGTAATTAATTACTTCAAAGAGTGCAATGTATCCTCCCTCCTTGCTGAGAAAATATATAATTTTATAATAAATATTTTGATTCTCATTTCTGTTATGAGTAATAATGTAACATTTTATCACTTGATGAAATATACAGTTATAAGTTGTAAAATGTGCAGGCATCAATATACCATCCTGTAATACCTAAAACAATGTCACCATATTTTTTTATGTGTTAATTTTTGGCTATTTATAAGTACAAAAACATGTCATTTTTACAGTCACCATGAAATCAAAACTGACAAATCTTCTTGTTGTTGTTTTTATGGAATAATGCAGTATCCGTGCACATCATGGGGAGCACGTGCAAACTCCACACAGAAAGACCTTCTGGCTCAGCCGGGACATCTTGCTGTGAGGCGACAGTGCTACCCACTGAGCCTCCGTGCCTGTTTTTGATGATTTATAAATAAATATATAAATAATTAAACACAGGAGGAAGTCCCCGCCTCCTGAGACATTGCTACGGAGCCGATACCCCGGAGGAAGGATGAGCGGGCTGTCAAAGAGCCCTCACCGCTGTGGGATTTCTGCAAAGCCATTGAACTGAGCAGAATCTCAGATCTCAGGAATCTGAGGAACTCGCTGGCGTTCGCCTTGGTTGTGGAGGGCTGGCTGCCGTCTGAGAGCGAGTGGAGGAGTCGTCTCCGTTTGCCTGAGGCCGCAGCCTGCAATTTTTCTTTACCAACTCTCTGGGTTTCTGGTTCTGCCTTTCATGACGGACGGTATCTTATTTTCAAACAGTTTTATGTAAGGATCAATTCCTGGAACCAGTCATGGAGGAGGATCTTTTTCCAAATCCATCCGCTTGGCTGGATCCTTTTCCATGCATGAAGAGACCAGATCTCTGCATTCTGTGAAGAGGGGAGAGATGTCCGGTTATTATTGTAAGTGTTATACTTTGTGTAAATTATCATATTGTTTTAAGCAGTAATAATATCCTCTCACCTTTGGAAATGTCTTCCATGTACCTTCGCTCAGCAAACATCCGAGCGAAGTTATTGTAACGGTAGTTCCCAAATAGCATCATGCACAACAGTACTAAAGATACACTGTTGCAGGCTTGCCATGATACCTGTGATGGTTGAAAAACTTAGGAGGAGAATAAACTTTTGTGCCTGGAAGAAAGAACAAGATTTCGTCCTTTGCATTAAATTTGTATATATATATAGCTTTTTGGCTATTTATTCACCATAGATTTGTGAAATAATATGTACCACTTAATTTCACATAAGGAGATTTCTTCAAGTGTTTGCTACAATCAAAGTCTATTAATTTGACCTGCAAGGTGTTTGGGTTGATGAGCAGGTTGATTCCAGTTTGATGTCGTGGTGGAAAACGCCCCTTTCACTGCAGACGTCATTTAACTGACGTCTTGGGACGTCTTGTGACCATACGTCCACATCCGCCTGTTTAGGGTACCCTTAAAAGATTAGTTCACTTTTGAAAAAACTTTTGCTGATAATTTACTCACCCCCATGACATCCAAGATGTCCATGTCTTTCTTTCCTCAGTCGAAAAGAAATTAAGGTTTTTGATGAAAACATTCCAGGATTTTTCTCCATATAATGGACTTATATGGGAACCAGACGGTCCGAGGTCCAAAAGACAGTTAATAACAGTTTCAGATGCAGCTTCAAATGACTTTAAACGATATCAGACGATGAATAAGGGTCTTATCATGCGAAATGATCGGTTATTTCAAAACTTATTCCAAAAATGTAACTTTTCTAAGGACAAATGCTAGACTTGCTCCATTCTGTGAGGCACGTTTGTAACGTCACGTAATACGTAATTACGTTCAAAAGGTCACGGGCGACGTAGGCAGAAGTACAGAGTCAGTGTTTACAAGTTGAACGCATAGGTTGAACGTGCAAACTAACTCAAGCGCCGTTCACAAAAAAGGAATTAAAAGGTAAAACAACGATGTCGGATGATTTTGATTCCGAAATCCCTGGAATAGCTTCCCACGCTCTGAAGCGTAACGCTAACGGGTGAATGGTCACATCGCCTTGATTGACGCACATAGCGGGCTGAACAATGTGTGTGAGCACGCTTACAGTGCTTGTGCGTGACGGCTCGCGAACAGCCAGTGGCTGTTTTGTGAGTGACTTCCCGATAGAAGTGAATGGGGAGCGAGTCACAGTGTGATGAGCGAGCGTGATCGCGTGCAAGGGACTTACATGCAGAGAGGAGTTTATGGGCCGTGTAACAGTGTGGGCAGAGAGGGGACGCACGCACGGGCTCGTGACACTCGAACTATGAACTATGACACTCGAAGGGGCTGTGCTCTTTTAGGGAGTGGGCTCTGACAGAGACACGGGGAGTGTGGTGCTTGTGTGTAGGGGAGACCACTTATAACATGTTTGGCGTAAGCCAGACATTATGCACTTATGCCTGATTGCATTTTAGCCTGATACGAGGCTGCACTTGTGCAAGTGCGTGCAAGTGCGTGTTAGAAAACACGCTTTACCCAGAGGGGTAAAGACACAAGCTTAATAGCACGAGCAGATAAGAGGGAGTGATAGTAGCGAACAGGAACTAACACACTAAAAACCCATTTGCCGGTGAAGCGTATGCACGGAGGGCGGGGTAGCTTTCTTGTAACGTAAAGAAAGCTAGCCGCGGTTGGCACAGCTGTAAGCGGCTCGTCCCCTATACAGCGCGACGGCAAGCAGCTCGTAAGCGGTGAGAGGGGGCGGCGGCTTTAATGCTTTGAGTCGAGCACGCAGTGTCGACAACGGAAGCCTTTTCGCAGAGGTAACATTCGCCGCCGGCGAGAGAGAGCTCTGCGTGTTCCAGTACCAGGCAGAAAGCGCAGAAGAAGGCGGTCTCCAGCGCTGAGAGGGGCGCGAGTCGGTGCTCTTTTGTGAAGTTTCACAAGCAAAATACGGTAACACTTTAGAATACGGTTCCTTCGTTAATGAATAACTACACAAGAACTAATGAGTAACACAATATTAACAATCTAGTAACTATTATTAACTAACAAGAAACTCTGATTGACGAACTAGTAAGTAATAGCGCACAGACGAAAGTGGTAGTTCACTATTAAGTAATCAATAACTATTATTTTTTTAATACTTGCCAGAGAACTACTGAAAAAGTTGATTAATAATCTAGTAACTACTATTAACTAAAAGAAACTCTTATTAACGAATTAGTAAGTAATAGCTCACAGATGAAAGTGTTACTAGATACTTCTGTGGGAATTACTAATTATTTGGATCCGTATTATAAAGTGAAGATCATTGGAACTAACTAGTAATTACTCAAGTGTTACTACATGATCTATTCATGATTTGTGCAAATGTTTGAGATTTTTTGGTGAACTTTAGTAACTTTTAGAAAATGTCTTTAGTAACACTTGAGTCATTACTAGTTAGTTCCAATGATCTTCACTTTATAATACGAATCCAAATAATTAGTAATTCCCACAGAAGTATCTAGTAACACTTTCATCTGTGAGCTATTACTTACTAATTCGTTAATAAGAGTTTCTTTTAGTTAATAGTAGTTACTAGATTGTTAATAAACTTTTTCAGTAGTTCTCTGGGACATATTAAAAAAATAGTAGTTATTGATTACTTAATAGTGAACTACCACTTTCGTCTGTGCGCTATTACTTACTAGTTCGTTAATCAGAGTTTCTTGTTAGTTAATAATAGTTACTAGATTGTTAATATTGTGTTACTCATTAGTTCTTGTGTAGTTATTCATTAACGAATGAACCGTATTCTAAAGTGTTACCCAAAATACAAATGTAAAGGATACGTCGCCGTTAGCTCGCAGGATGGCTGAAGGTGGCGAAGACGGCCGGCTTCCTCAGACTGCACGCCCGCTGAGAGATGCCTTCTCAACGGCGACGCGGCTTCCTCTCGGAGATCAGCACCTGCATAGAGCTTTGCTGAATAGATGAAAATCAGTTATAACAGCCTCTGACTCGCCCTTTTATACACGCAGGCCACGCCCTATCTGGCGGGCTATGATGCAATGAGAGCGTGTCAGTTCGCTCAGGCGAATTCGCTCATAGGCTGCAGCAGTTCCCAAAGAGCAACCAATGAGCTGAGCTCGCCTGCAGCTGCTGAACTGCATTGACAATGGATACAAAAATTAGATAGTTTTTTGGCTTCAACTTCTCAGAAAAGATTAATCTTTCCCGTAGCGTAAGCTAGCTTACGCAATATGAGAGAACCTCTTGTAAGAGAACTGGCTCTATACACGCTATCCCCACGTTTGATGTGTGCATATATTACCGAGTTTATTTATGTACTTCAGCTCATGTTAACTATTTGATGAAGTCAATCCATTATGTTGGTTGATATTCCTTGCTTAAGGAAGCTTTATAGTGATTGATTTGTGTTCATATATTCAAATGATGTTGCTTTTTGTTCACAAAAGTGTGTCTGCTGCATATCATTGTTTGGATCTGTTTAGTTAGACTATTGAATTGTGTTTCTGTTATGTTATATATTGATTTACTTATATTATTGTACACTTAATATTGTATACTTAACATCACCAGTTCAGTTAAGAGTCTAGTGCTACTTGCTTGTCCTTGCGTCGCTTTGGGGATTCCCTTTTGTCGGCATAAAAGGCACCTCCTGCTTTCATTTGATCATGTTTTCCCCTTTGTTCAATATGGTTTACAACCCTTGACAAAATAACATGTCAGATATGTATTATAAATATTTATATAAAATATTTATAATATAAATATTCTAAAAATGTTGTGGACATTTGGAGACATTAAATAGCCTAATTAATAATTTAATTTGAATCACATCTAATTGTAATTGCTGCATATCTCTCTGTTTTTCTCCTTGAATCATATTTATCTATTAAATAAAGAAATAAAAAGAAAAATGTGAGATTTGAAAGGTAGGACTACATCTGTTTGACATTGGAAAATTCATTTCCACCTCAAGAGGGGGTGGTTCACTATATTAAGAAATTAACAGATTTAGCAAAGACATAAACATCTGTGTTATGTGTGTGTGCGTGTGTGTGTGTGCAAATTTTTTTTTTTTTTTTTTTGGTCAAATCATTTAGTCTATAAAGTCCCAATAAAACATTGGAACCCCAACATGTTTTTGTAATTTAGTATTACATTTAAAGTTAATACACAATGCATCTGTGCCATATTTAAAGCAGACAGACAGCAAATTAAAAACAGCCAACACTTCAAAATAGAGACAAATTACATGTGGACATCATTTTTGCATATAAATAAAAACATATAGAAATATGTATAGGATACTTTGGTAAATAGTTCAAACAAACTTACTTAAAATATACTTTTTTCAAAAACCAACCGGGTCACAGGCTGGAGGACGAAGGAGCGAGGAAATGAGGAGGCATTAATTTGAGTTTTGAGAAGCGCCCTCAGTTTTCATCGACGTGCGATTAGAACATGCGCATTCGCTGGTCTGGCCAGAAAGGTAATGCTATTTGAGCATAAGAATGGGACAGTTCATGTCAGATTTTTTTTGCTAATTTAAAATATGTTATTGCTTGCAAGTTCAGCAAACAGTTTTTGAGATTTCAGAATTCCTCCATTCAAGACCAGGGGCCCTATCATACACCCGCTGAAATGCACCGCCAGGCGCAACAAAAGTGTTCTTTAGCTTCAGCCCGACGCAGTTTTAATTTTCACATTTAAAGTAAATGGGAGATGAGACTCTGATTGGTTTATTGTACATTACGCCTAAAACACCCATTACTCATTAAGAGAATAGGGACAACCCTTTTAGACCATGCGCCGGGCGCACCAACCACTTTTCCCGTCGTTAAACTAGTAAAAGTGGATTCGGACACAACCTTACATCCTTAAAATAGAATCCTTCGTTTTGAATGCCCGAAACAGACTTTCCTTCAAAAGGACTTTGCTATTGCTGTGATGTCATGTGATTGACAGGTTGCCCCGTCCTCGTGCCAGTAAATCAATCAAGAGAGAGGGGAAGTTATTTTGATTAAAGATTATGAGGGCACATAAATTAACAAAAAATAATCATGTATACAGATGAATCATTTAGGATATAATAATAACTGCAATATTCCATAAAAAAAAAAAAAATCATGGTGAAATCAAGATAAAATTGGACATGTGTATTTAACAGGCTCGCAGCAAGATCATTTTTGCCTACAGCTGCAGCAGAGCCCAGACCAATCACGGCAGGTTGATGTTTTAAAGCTCAGTCATGGGGAAATGAATTCATCTTCTTCAGACATTAAAGAGTGAAGATAAAGAGGTATCTGCAGTGGCCTCTGCTTGGGTATTAATAGCGCTCAATTAAAAATAAGCACAAGGTTTTAATTTTCGCACCGATGTCGTGCTGGGGAGGAGCCGGTGATGCACACTGCAATTTAGATTGATCAGCTGATCCAAAAAACAAAGCACGTA